GTAGTTTTTGAGGTGTAAATACAGCCATGTTTGTCAATTTGTTATGATGAACCTTAAATCGTTATCGGGTGCACAGGTTTGTTTGTACTTAGAGTAAACCTTTTGGTGTTAAACACGGCTGTATATGTCAATTCCTTATGACGAACATTAATAACGTGAATTGAAATTTAGAAACGAAACACAAATTTAACCTCGGCAAGAAAAGCAAACAAAAGCGAATAAGGAACAATTTCACACTGAATAATTGGGACACGAGAAAAACGTGGTTAAATTACAACATTTTAATTATTACTTTTGCTTGCCGAAAAAAAACAACAGTAAACGCAAAAAAAATATGGCTTCATCCAAAAGAGAATTGAACAAAGTTCTCTGTACTTGAAAAAATACTAAATATAACAACACCCGCAAAAGATTAAAGATTTAATACACTAGATAATTATTAGCTGATCAAAGATCCGGAAAAACAATACCTGAAATGATCCAATCTTTACTCAAATTCACAATATTTTAGGCTTTATGTGTAACTTAATTATTCAGCTTATTTCTATATAATAACGCTAGAAGACAATCGAAAACTGGGGCATCTATTACCATAGAAAATGTAAGGGCATCGTTAATTAGAACGAAAACTATGTAGGAAGTAAACTATGTCTTTCGAAAACAAATTAATTCATTTTGGTAAGCGACGTTCTTCGATGCAAAATTTTACAAAAACCATGTAAAATTTGCAAAAGAGGGACGAAAGATACCAGAGGGACAGTCAAACTCATAGATTGAAAACAAACTGACAACGCCATGGCCAAAAAATAAACAGATTAACAGACAAAAAATAGTACAGATGACAGAACATAAAAAAACTAAAGACTAACAACACGAACCCCACCAAAAACTGGGGGTGATCTCATGTGCTCCGGAAGGGTAAGCAGATCCTGCTCCACATGTGGAACCCGTCGTGTTGCTTATGTTATTACAAATCCGGTAAATAGTCTAATTCGGTAGATCACATTCATGAAAAGGGAAGGGTATTGTAGTTACGACATAAGGAACATATCCGATATCATCTGTGAACCGGTTATTCCATAACGGTCAACCAACTCGTGATGGCGTCCGTAAAATTTACGAAGAGATGATTCCAGCTTCACCATTTGAAACTCTTGGTTTAATAGCTTCCTTGTGAGCAGCAATCCTCTATCAAGGAAATCATGATAGGAAATACAAGCCCGGGAATATCGTATCAATTGTGAGATATATACTCCGTATGCAGGCGCTGCTGGAATGTTGCTACATAGAAATGAAAAGTTCACATTTGGGAAGCTGAACTCATCTCTTTTGTCGTAAAGGTTTTTTTTCAACCGACCCCCATTGTCAATTTCTAGATGTAAGTCAAGATATGAGGCAGACTTAACTGTATCTGTAGTATCCTTTATCTCTAGTTCGAGTGGATAGATTCGTTCAACATAGTCACTAAATTTTGTATTATTTAGTGAAAGAACATCATCTATATAGCGGAACGTTAAGTTAATGGATATTGCTAACTTCTTATCTTTCTTCCTAGGAAGTTCCTGTATGAAGTCAACCTCATAATAATAAAGAAACAAGTCGGCAAGAAGAGGGGCATAATTGGTTCCCATTGGAATTCCGACAGTCTGTTTAAAAACACATTCTCCAAACGTAACAAATATGTTGTCAATCAAGAAATCAAGCATCTTGATAATGTCAGTTTCAGAGAATTTTTTGTTTGAATCAGAGTGATTCTTTACAAAGTAGGATTTATCCATCCCCAAGACAAGATACTTGCATCTACGTTCATCATTCTTTTTAATGAAACAAAGCAATATCAACTCTTTCAATTTGTCTTTGTATCTAATTCACGCCACCTCTAGAATAGGCAGTTTCACAATAACTTTGGAGCCCGGTTTTGATTGCTGATAAAATAGGTGTTAATAATTTAGAAAGAAGTTTCTTAGAGCACTTGGAAGGCCCAGCAATATACCGTTGGTATATAACTTATATCAAATTTATACCAAAATGCCTTCAACAGCAACATGTAGTGCTGAATAACATGTTGATTTTATTGAAATACGAATATTTGTTGAAAATGATTTAAATTATATGATTAAAACAAAACTGATATCTAATTTCCAGTAGGATTTGAATACTCTAAGATTTTGATCATAGGAGTTTTAAAACAAATTTAGGGGACATTTGCCCTACCTCTGTGTGAATATTTTAAATATTCACCGCTTGCAGATTACCAATTGAAACTGAAAGCTTGTACAGTAAAGGTAATATATTTTATTCTGAATTTCTTTATGCGCATTAATGGAGATATTAGGGATTGCAATACATAACCAGTTGAATTTTTTTTTTTGGGGGGGGGGATCAGTTCCCCTAATTTGAATGCATGTTTGCTCGACATTTAAAATCCCTTTCTTTCAATTGTTTTAATACAAGTAAGTCAATTCCAATTGTCGTAACTACAATCTCGTCACCCCCCCCCCCCCTCCCCCCCGAATGTGACCTACCGAATTTATCATATCACACTACCTCTCACCGCGTTTGTACTTACATGAGCAACACAACGGGTGCCACATGTGGAGCAGGATCTACTTACCCTTCCGGAGCACCTGAGATCTCCCCCAGATTTTGGTGGGGTTCGTGTTGCTCAGTCTTTAGTTTTCCATGTTGTGTTTTGTGTACTGTTGTTTGTCTGTTGGTCTTTTTCTTTTTTTTGGCCATGGCGATGTCAGTTTGTTTTCGACTTGTGAGTTCGAATGTCCATTTGTTATCCTTCGCCTCTCTTTTAGTCATATAGTCGTGTCACAGATTCTACTTAGGCACTGCTGTCCACCTGACATAACAAATTTTCGTTTGTTTGTTGTTTGACTATTTTGTTCATGTTCCTTGCTCCAATACGTGCTGCTGATATGACTTTTGAACTATATGACATAGCATGGTAGGCTAAACCCCTCACCCATCTGGCTCTTTTTCGTTTGAATTCCTGCTATTTTGACTCCTATGTTTTTCTGTTACTATTTTGACTATTGATATTCCAACTGATATCAGTATTCTACAGCATAACTTGACGCACAGTGAATCAAGGTATGCAATGTTGTCCTTCTATGCTTTAAAAAATATGCACTGTCTGAATTTTTTCTTGCATGTTGAAGAAATCGTCATTTAACTTATATCATTATATCAAATTACAGTTACATTTAAAAAATATTAGATTTTACCATTACAAATGAGTAAACAATAAGTAAAATTCGGACTCTGTCTGTGATTAAGCCAGAAAAAAATTTCCACTGTAAACAAATAACTCGCTAGGGACATTTCTGAGCCTTGATCCACTGATCGAAAGTTATTAAAAATTGTATGGATGATTCCAATTTTATAAACAAATCAACAATTTTGCAAACACAGATTGGTGGTCATCGTGGGACAAATAATTACTTGTCAATTTTTCATGATTTATGGCATACATTTCATCATTTTCCATTCATAAGGTTCCTACTCTCTCCCTCAGGCAACGTTGACTAAGATGGTTTGAAATATTCGGTTAAGGCCCTTCTTTTGGTCATATAGCTAATAAAGTATTTATAAATCACTAGTGTTGTTTCAAATTTGTAGTTTTGAACGTTTTTGATGAGGGTTAATCCAGAAAAAAGCTTAGGACGCATCAAATTTATAAAATGTTATTTTTGCAATAAACATTCAATCTTTATAATTATCCAATTATACACTACAGTATAATGGTAATGTTTTATTTACATATTGATTTTGTTCATATTTCATTTCAGCAACAAAAGTGCCAGGAAGTAAGATATTCAAGTACTAGTAGCAGAAGCGTAAACTTTCAAAATGGAAGCATATTTAAAAGATTTTGAATATATAATGGAAAACAATTTAAAGCGAACTCACGATTCACATAGAATGTACTTTAATAATAGCAGTGGTCCTGCTATTTTTGAATATTCAATGTTTACGGATTTCCCAGACTCTCCAACCGCCAAAAGATACAAAAAAGCATTTGAACTGTTTTGTGTTGCAGAAGAGGTATTAATGCAATGTACAATAACAAAAGTAGAAACCATTGAGGATTGTGAATGTCTTCAGCCAGCTTTCCATGGATATGCTAAGGCAAACTTGTGTGAATGTCATTTATGTGACACATTTAAGCCAACCAAAAAAACTGCTGATCTTATTGATCAATATCTGAAATTGCGACCAAATGACATTTTAACAGAATATTTCAAAACAACTATCATTAATAATGAACAACCATCTGATTATAAAAGTCAAAGAGGTTATTCTAGTGGCAAACATTTAAAGAAACTTATCAAAATGAACGAACAATTTGCCTTAAAAGTAAGCAAAAAGAAACCACAGTCTGAAATTCAACGCGACATACTTATTGATATATATTTTCGCCTAGGTTCTTTGTATTCTATTACCGACCAAGAAGTCCGCGCACTCGATTCATTCCAGAAGTCTTACGATCTTGACAACAGTAATTTGGATTCATTGTATGGCGTTGCTTTCTATCACTTTTTTAGAAACTCTGACAAGGCCGAAAGTCTGCTAAAGAAGTATTTACAATTGGCACCGGAATGTGATAGGAGATATTATGATGCTTATTATACACTGGGACTTATTCATCTAAAGAGAGAAAACATTAAACAAGCGACGGAATATTTCAATAAAGGAGTAACTGCAGAGCAAAAACAGCTTCCGTGTTTACCAGCATGGGATACCTATTCTAGAATGTCAGCAAGGTTATACATACCACATTAAAATGATTTTTTAATGACATGCACGACCGGTTGTAGATAATTTTTTTATAAAGAGAAATGCTATTTAAACCGCTTAATTCGGATAGTTATTTTTTTCTCTCACAAATAGGGCATTAGGGAATATAATTGTAAATATAATACTATGATACATAAAAGAACAAGAGTTTCCTAAGAAACTGAATCGCTCACCTGGATATTTTTTGTAGATCTTGCATCAATATTTATTTTGCTGTTTAGTGTATATTAATGCGTGTTCAAACATGCCTTTAAAGTTTCTCTCTATCTATCATAGTTTTTGCAAAAAACTCCAAAAAAATATCTTATCATGGCAATAACTCTTTAACATACGGGTTTATTCGACAATTTTTGTTTATTTTACTTATTTGTAGGTTTTATTCTACTGAAGATTTTGTCTTTTAAAGATTTTCTCCATCTAACATAGTTACTGCAAAAAAAACTAGAAAAAAAATCATCTTTCAAGGGCAATAACTCCTATAAGGGATCAATTGACAATTTTGGTCCCGTTGACTTATTTGTATGTCTTTAATTTTTACATTTTTGTTATTCAAAGTTTCTCTCTATCTATCACAGATTCTACAAAAAATTAAAACACAATGGTAAAAATAGACTGTCAAGGACTTTAGTTCCTAAAATGGAACAACTAACATTTCGGTCATTTCATTTATTTGTAGGTCTTACTTTGCTGAACTGTTTTGCTGTTTAAAGTTTATTTCTATCTATTATAGTTCATACAAAGAACTAAAAAAACGAAAAAAATTATTGTCTTTCAAGGATAACAACTCGGTTAAGGGTGTAATTGACGGTTTCGGTTGATTTATTTCTAGGATTTACTTTGCAGAACATTTTTGCTGTTTGAAGTTTCTTTCTATCTGTCATTGTTCCTACAAAGAAATAAAAAAATTAAGAAAGTTGTATTTCAATGGTAATAACTCATGGACGGGTTTAAATGACGATTTCGGTCATGTTTGACTTTTTTGTAAGTCTTCCTTTTCTGAATATTTTATTTATGCAAAAACACATTTGTTTTAGTAAAAATAGTCTTTCAAGATCAATAACTCCTATATGAATTTACTGACGATTTTCGTCATGTTTTACTTATTTGTAGTCTTACTTTAATGAACATGTTTGCAATTTAAAGTTTCTTTATCAAAGTTTCTGCAAAGTTTTTTTAAAAAAAATGTTATAATTAAGATTGAAATCATTTCCCATTAGAGGTCAGTTGAAGATTTTGGTCATGTTGACTTATTTGTAATCGGTTCTTAGACTTATTGGTAGATCTTACTTCGCTGAAAATTTGTTGGGTGTTTAAAATTTTTCTATATCTATAATAGGTCTCAAGATGATAACCAAAAATTGAGGAATTTTATAAAAATTATTATTTCATGGGCAATTACTCTAAATGAGGTTGTCCGATTCGTCTGTTTTCCTGGAATATCGGTCTTTACCTATTCATTTTTACCCTGGTTAGTGTTGCTCTAGCCACTTTAGAATTTGAGATATAAGCCAAAACTGCATTTCACCCCTATGCTATAATGTTTATCCATGACGGCCATGTTTGTTGACAGACTGGAATAAATAAAGAAAAAACTTTATACTAGATACTATATGTACCATTCCGCATAAGTTTGGTTGAATTTGGTTTAGTGGTCTCAGAGAAGAGTTTACACCGGACGGCGGACGAAAAGGGATGGTAAAGGCACAGATGGCTTTTATTAGATATCGACGACATATGAGATAAAAAAAAACAAATTGCAAGTAGAACAGATACATACAGGCTTTCACATTTCTGACTCATATTAAACTATCTAATAAAGACCAAAAGATCTTATTCCAGGATAATGAAAAGGCTATTTTCGATTTTGATTTTTATATATCCCGCATTCAAAGGAAGGAGTCATGATAAAATTTAAAATAACCTTCCAAGACGTCTTAATTCATAATCACTTTGACTACAAAAATGTTTTGTTGACGTCCATGTCAAAATACTACCAACTACAACTTTTTTTTATTTATTTTTGTATGTTTGTTTGAATTTTTTAGTCAGTTGTGTTGTATATTTATTTACACAGGTTTGGATGCTGGATCCAAATTATAGTCACATTAACCTATTATATATGTTTGGGTTGCTCGCCCAATTTTGTATATACAACGGAACTATAAACAACTGTCATACAAGTGGAAGGCTTATCTAGTTATAAAACCAGGTTTAACCCACCATTTTCTTCGGAAAATGTCTGTACCAAGTCAGGAATATGTCAGTTGTTTTCTACTCGTAACGTTGGTTGATAACGCTTGATTTTTCAGTTTTTAGGGACTTTCCCTTTTGAATTAACCTTGAAGTTCAGTATTTTTGTTATACTTTTGTGACTAAAAAGGTGCAGATGCACAAATTCTGCTTCCTTGAAATTTTATATTTAATAAGGTACCTGTAATTCAGTTGTTGTCGTTGTTTTCTTCAATGTCTTCAATATTGGTTTTTGTTTTGTTTATTGTCTATACACCTCCGCTTTCGCCCTCGTTCTTTTGTTTCAGGTGGCTAGTTGTCTTGTTGGCAATTATTCATTATATCCTTATTTTTGTATAAGAGTTGGTATACAAGTTGTCAAAACCTGCTTGAATTTGAATATTATTAAGTCTATAGTATATACTTAAATTATTGTCAACAATTTTATGTATTTCCATATAATTAAAAATATGATTAATCTCTACATGTTGCTGGCATAAAGGTAAAAAGAAATCAATTTTTTAAAGGTTTTAGTAAAATTTGCCATTAGGATATTATCTTTCTATAATGATTATAATGTATCTGAAAGACAATAAATATATTTGATTTATTTCCAACATAATTATGGTTATGGTTGAGGATGTCCATCTTCTTAAACAAATATGTCAAAACTGCTATCTTTTAACGTTTTTTTTTTAAATTTAAAATGGTACTATAAATCTTTCATATAGCATCTCTAAGATGTTAAGATAACAAAAGTTTGACTAAAATACTATCATGTTTGCATGCAATTCAAAAACTGCGAAATTGCAACACAAAAAAAATTCACTACTAGACAGTTTCATTACTATTTAGATATGAGCAAAAGCTTCCCCCTAAACATAATTTGTTAAAAAAAAAATGAAAACAACACTTTTCACCCGAAGCGCTTTTCTGGATTTAATTTCATCAGAAACGCCCAAAGCCGAATATTTGAAAGCCAAGATGTATAAGAACCGAAGCAGTTGAAGTTCTATATGAGTGATTTATATTGTGACCTAAAAATAATAGCCAACTTCATCTAAGATTAACTTTGCCTAGTTTCTTGTTAATTTCTTATTTTATAAACCGACATTTCAAGAATGGTTTGTTATAAATCATTTCAGTACATAGGATATCTTATTCAGAGACGTTAATGTCAACGTAGATAAAATTGAGAATGGAAATGGGGAATGTGTCAAAGAGACAACAACCCGACAATAGAGCAGGCAACAGCCGAAGGCCACCAATGGGTCTTCAATGCAGCGAGAAACTCCCGCACCCGGAGGCGTCCTTCAGCTGGCCCCTAACACATTTTTGGTTAAAACCATTTTTCATTACTGCATAGTGATATCAACCGTCACATTTCCTGTACTTCAAGTTGTAAAATTCTATTTGAATATAAATGAAAAAATGAGGCTTGAAGAAGGCTGAGAATGCAAATTTGATAGCATTGTTTTATTCTAGATTATAATTTTGTTTTGACGTAAATATGCTAAGTTAGTTTTTATTGTATGCAGCGAAGCTTATATACTGTCTTGTAAGCCTGAACATCACATCATTTTGGCGAAAACACACAACCATGGCAGATGATCTGTTTTTAAAACATATATTTGATATATTTTGCTGTGGGCGTTCTTCATGAAAGATTCAAGAGAAACCTACCGTGAATACTTTTATCGGTATCATACATAGTTATATTTTCATATACTTTGAGGAATCAACATTGATTTTTTTCCAGAAATGGGTAATAGAGTATGTTTTTGAAAAGCTGTTGAGATTGATAAGATAGAAATTGTAACCAACAAATCACGAATGATATTCCATAGCGTTCAATCAACTCATGGTGGCGTCCGTAAAACTTTCGAAGGAATGACTTTAAATTCACCATTGGGAACCCTTGGTTCAATAGCTTTCTTGTAAGCAGCAACCCTCTTTTAACGAAGCCATGATAGAAAACGCAAGCTCTGGACTATCGTATTAACTGGGAGATATATACTCCATATGCAAACTAGGAGATATATACTCCATGTGCATGCTCTGCTGGAATGTTGCCACATAGAAATGGAAAGTTCACAATAAGGAAGCTAAAATCACCCCTGTTGTCGTAAAGAAGTATTAACACAAATACCTAACTACAATGCAAATTTGAAAAAGGGATAGTCCATAAAACCTGACAAAATCAAACTCTCGACTATATCAACCAACGGAACAAATGGAAAGCAATTTTCATATTACTGACCTGGTACGGGCATTTTCTGAAGAAAATGGATGATTAAACCTGGTTTTATGGCTAGCTAAATATCCCACTTTTATGACAGTTGTTTATAGTGGTGTTATATTGAAAAAATAGTGTGAGCAACCCAAACAGACATGATTGGTAAACATTATAATAATTGGGATCCATTGTGTAAACATACATCACAGACAAACAAACAAAACTGACTTAAACAAACGTACAAATAAATCAGACAAAGACGGCAACAAAAAAACGTGTAACTTTGTTTTCAACCGACCCTTATTGTCAATTTCTAGATGTAAGTCAAGATATGAGGCAGATTTAGCTGTATATGTTGTAAACCTTTTTTCGATTGGATATATGCGTCCAACATAGTCTCCAAAGTTTTGATTTTTTTGGTAAGAGGATATAATCTAAATGCGGAAAGTGAAGTTAAAAGATGTGCTAGCTTCTTTTCATTTTTCCTAAGAAGCTCTTGTATGAATTGTTTTTGTATGAATAAAGGAACAAATCGGCAAGAATAGGGGCACACTGGGTACCTTTAGGAATGCGATTGTTTGTTGAAAAAAAACGTCCTTCAAACGTAAAAAATGTGTAGTCAACAAAAAATCAAGCGTCTTGATCGCTGTTTCTGAGAATAAATTCATCATAGATTGTACGCCAGATGCGCGTTTCGTCTACAATATACTCATTTCTAAAACCAGTTGTTGGCATGACACGGGTTATGTTCTTCTCATATATTTTATGACGGTATAATACTAAACCCCTAACAGGAGGGATTGTGAGTGATATTCATATGATGAAGACATAATCTTTCAATCAGTTTAATTGAGGTCTGGAGCTGGCATGTCAGTAACTGCTAGTAGTCTGTTGTTATTTATGTATTATTGTCATTTTGTTTATTTTCTTTTGTTTCCTAATTTGACATCGGACTCGGAGTTCTCTTTTACTGAGTTTTACTGTGCGTACTGTTGTGCGTTTGTTTTTTCTGCATTGACTAGAGGTAAAGGGGGGGGGGGGTTGAGATCTCAAAAAACATGTTTAACCCCGCCGCATTTTTGCGCCTGTCCCAAGTCAGGAGCCTCTGGCCTTTGTTAGTCTTGTATCATTCTTAATTTTAGTTTCCTGTGTATAATTTGGAGTTTAGTATGACGTCCATTATCACTGAACTAGTATACATATTTGTTTAGGGGCCATCTGAAGGACGCCTCCGGGTGCGGGAGTTTCTCGCCTCATTGAAGATCCATTGTTGGCCTTCGGCTGTTGTCTGCTCTATGGTCGGGTTGTTGTCCCTTTGACACATTCCCCATTTCCATTCTCAATTTTATTATCATCACTGACGCTCGAATCAAAATAATTTTAAAAGGCAAAACAAAGAACGAAGTTGAAGATCAATGATGACTCAACATTCCGAAAGGTTTTGCCAAATACAACTGAAGTAATATCTTCCTGGGGTAGAAAATCCTTAGTACTAGAGTGTTTTTTTACACAATATTATTAAAGATTCAAGATTTATATTGACCAATTATGGATCCAAAATGGACATACACTAAAAGTATAACAATGTCACAATGATTACAGCATAACAAATTATAAAAAAAAATACATTGAGAGTGAACAAATAATTGTACAAAGAGGCAAACAATATATTGTAGTATATGTATCATGGAACACTACACAGTCAGTATTAGCATATAATTAAATTTGAAGATTTCTATAATAAATTCGCTTATTTTAATAATTTTCATTCATATCTTTCATAGTCATTAACCATATAAATCTGTTAAGACAGGACAAGGTAGCAAAATATAAACATTCTTTTGTAACATTATCAAGAAAAAACTTGGCTTTGCTGATTAAAAAATGAACATTGTAAAAGAAATGAATTTCATCCTCAACATCACCAGAGAAACATTTGTCATATATTCTTTCTTGATAAGGCACACATTGTTAAGTGTATCGCCTAGTTTCAACCTTTAACTTATGGTTACTTATTCTGATTTCTTTATATTCTTTTTTATTTTGTTTTAAGTCTTGAATAAAATCCAAATATTTCTCACGTTCAAATGAAAATTTGAATTTTAAGTATATGCGTAGTTTACCTTTTTACATTATCAACTTATGTCTTTAGCTGCCCATACTTTTTTTGTAAAAATTTAAAAAGGATGTTTTAATTTAACTCTTCAATGTGTGGGACTTGTACCTATTAAAATCAGATTTCGAAATATTAATATGATGTATCGCTCCCTAAAACAAGATATTCGTATCTATGTTGGCTATTCTAGTTTATGAAACAAAGTATGAGTAGTTGAAATGTCTTAAAGTTTAAAATGAATAATACTAGTGTAAATGGTAAAGAAGTCACATGGTTTTATACTATTGCTAGAGGAAAAAAACAAAATTGATGTTAATAGGATTGAAAGACGTTTCTTGGGGCACTTGGCAGACTCAGCAGTATGCCTTTGTTTATAAGGATTCGTATGTATTTGTATGGTATTTCGGCCCTTTGGTTAACACATTTCAAAAATCAGAAGAAATTCGTTGTTTCATTAAACGGTGAAATAAATTCTGGTATTTTTGTTTTTTATGTGTTTGCACAAATCTTTTTCTCTTTCCTTTACTTTTATTCCTTATGCCTATGTGTTGCTTTTACCATATATGGGCATTGTATAAGTATGTAGAAGATTTAATAGTGTGTCGAATCCAATGATTTATTGCAATAAAATAGTATGAAATTAAATTAAAAGTTTTCAGGTGAAAAACACGATATAATATGTTTTACTATTTCAATCAATTCTACAAAACTGCCCAATATCTATGCATTAATTATGCAAATGTCCAGAGAATCATTTCTTACCATTTTTGAAAAGGAGGGAAGTCATCGATATGGATGCAGAGTATTTCTCCATTGTTTTTTAACGAAGCCCAACAAAATATTTTTTTAGATGTAAACTTATTGCCACCGAGCCTTCCGCACTCACTGCACAAATGGTAAAGTTCTGGGTTTCTTATGCTGACATCAAGAGCAACGCTTTGATCATATAGAGTCAAAGAGTTTTGTGGATTGTATGGTCCATAAAGTATATCAGACTGAATTTTCACAATGAAACGCTTTGTGGACTGAAAATCAAGTACTGGTCCTTCGCCTATTCCTTTCAGAGAAGCATGAAACATGCGTTCGCAAAATACAATACCACTTTCGGTTATTTCAAATTTATTGCTTTTAGCTTCCTTCATCGGAAGTTCAATTGTATATGATTTACTGAAAAGCGGACACATATGTTTATGTTGTATCCAATGTCCCTTCTGACATTCTTTTGAACAGTATTTTGCGATTCTACATTTCGTGCAAGCTTTCAGAATTTTTGACAGTTTCCTACAATAACAACAAGTTAATGGTTTCACTGTATCTCTTGGAGTTTGGACTGATTTATTATTGTTCCTTCTGTAGTTTCTGTCCGTAATGATTGGAGGTGTTGAATATTCATTCACTTCTCCCATATCTGAAGCTTCCATTTTATTCATTGAAAAATTAATAGTATGAGTTTTAGACAAAATATGGTTTTTATAGTCTTTGTAGTTTTGATCTATTTTGATCGCTAAAATATCCGGTCCACTATGGTCTTGTATAGTATTACCATCAATAATTATTGAAGCAGAATAGTTTACTCCTATCCTTATCCCCCCACACCTATTGTTAGATATTTCATTGTTTTCAACCGTTGCAGATGAATTGTTTTGAAAATACATACCCCAAGTCCAATTGTTGGCAACCGTGTTATCTTTTAAACTGAAGCACCCACCATCAAGGAAAATGCCTGATAATCCATTTTGGGAAATGTTGTTGTCAATTGCTGTAACGATTGAGCCATTATCGCATTCATATGAACTCTTTCCTTTTTCATAGCTTACTCCACGACACCATAAACCTTCGGCTTTATTTTGTATGATACTGTTATGTTGCAAATAAGCTTCCGCCTTGGGACCAATGACTATTCCATGCAATTTATTATCAGCTATCCTATTGTTGATGGCTTTCATGGATCCCCCTTGCACAATAACAATTCCTGTTAAAGATGAATTGTGTACATTGCAGTTATTAATATTAAGAAAGGACTTTTCACCACAGATGACAACACCACAACCACTCGAATTGCTTATGTCACACGAGTTCAAAATAACTCTACCTCCATATGTCGAGGCGATAAAAGAAGGAGTACTTTTGTTAACATTACCGAAGCGGTTTAAAAACATTGAATAAAAATAGTCAGTATTTTGCATGTTCTTATATCGATTTTCGTCAATGGGAATTTTGTTTTTAAAATTACATCTATAAAATGTAGCAACACAGTTTTCCTTGATGTCTAATTGGCCATGTTTAGCAATGAAAGCAATGTTCTCAAAATGTAAAGTGATCTCTGGTTCATGTTCAAACTCGATTGCAAAAGCTGAATCTGGAAGCTTACAAATGCAAATTCCAGGACCTATATCAACTTCTACTCCAACCTCAACTCCTATGATTTGACAACTTTTAGTTGTTGCAACTAGTTCGTCAAATATGTAATGTCCTTTCTTTAACATATACGTTGTACCTGGTCTGTCTGCTATACACATTATGTATTTAGATAAAGGCAACTGATTGTCCACCATTTTGTAACTTATTATGGGGTAATGTATTTTCATTTTATATCTTAGAAGGCATTCTTCATTTAATTTTGCTGCAATGCAAGCACTTCCTAAACCAGAACCTTCCATTTCTTCCAGCAATTCTCTTGCATTTATAAGTTCGGCGATTGCATATGACTTCCACATATGACCTTTCCAGTTATATGGATCTATTTCGATACACGAGTTTGCATCTTGAAGAGCTTTAGAATAGTCATTTAGTTTCAGAAAGACCAAACTCCTATTTAAAAGTATTCTGTTGTCATATTTGTCCTTTGGACAAGCCCGCAATGCTTCCGAATAATATTGTAACGCGTCTTCATACCTCCTTTTTTTGAAAGCATTATTTCCCATCAATCGTAACCTATCAGTCGAAAGGGGAACTACTGGTGTATTTTGGTTTTGATTTTCATCTCCTTGCAATACAGTTGCAATGCTGTTTTGAATACATAATAGATCCCATTCTAGCAGTGGTATTTTTATAGCTGTAATTGCTCTGTATGTATTTTCATCTAGTTCTAAGGACGCCATGATGTTCAACATCTGATTTTGGTCATCTAAAGCAACATCTTGTCTTTGATGAAGACTATTGAATATTGCTGCTGTTTGCATTATTCGTATCGTGTCCAAGCCAGCATACACATCAGGATTTATTTCGATTTCCTTACTGGCGCATAGATAGCTTTTCAGCGCATTTGCATTGGCTGCTATTTTATTCCACAAATAGAGCTTTCCTCTTACCACATGCTTGTTTTCTTTGTTTTCATTTATAGCAATTATAGGTGTACATGTGTTTAAAAGTGCTTTGTTCACCATTCGAATAGCGCTTTGAATAACTCGCTGCCTTTTATCAATGCAAATGTTGTTTCTTATTATTTCTTGAACTAATCTATGAACTGACAAACTGTTTGTCCGACATCTTTGGAACAATGAAAATCTAGTTAAAATTTCAACAACTTGTTTAACACCAACTGGATCTGATAGAGTTTCATGTGTATCCAACACCTCTATATTGGGTTCCCCATTGTTGAAAAGTTCTATTGGTATATCATCGGCAAAAAGGAAAGACGCCACATTCATAATAATTACAGCAGATATCCCGAGACCCTCTTCTTTTGACTGTTCTCTTATATAATCCATGTTTAATAGCCATGTAGTAAGCACGGTAAGCCTATCCGTATTGGTCTCAAATGATGTTGTTGCAGTCTTTGTCAACAAGTTCAAACGCTTTTTCTCGAATCGAGCTAAATAGTCTGCAAATGAACATTTAAGAACCTTGATGTGAGCTGCAGCTTGTTCCAAAGCTAAGGGAAGACCACCTAAGTCGTCTGCTAATCTTAAGATGCTGTCTTTTTCTTTTTGGTGTTGAACATAACGTTCCGTTCGCTTAATAAGAAACTGTCCCCCTTCTTCATTACTTAATGTTTGTAGATGAATGCAATTGTCTATTTTTAAACGAAAGGATTCTGCAGCTTCACTCGGTTCTCTTCTTGTTGTTACTATTATGTGACCATTGGTGTTTCGCTTCCAACTACCTAGCAGCAATTCCTTTATCTGACCTGAAATTATTGGTGTGTCTGCGTTATCAATGATCAGAAGCCATTTTTTCGTTAATCTTGATAACCAACTCAGAGTTTTTTTTAATGTTTCTTTGCTATTTCCTCCAATCAAGTTTAAATCGACGGCAAGTGTCGTAATTGTATCTTCCAAGGATTCGATGGATTCGGCAGAAATCCAAAACACACCACCTGGATAACAATGATGAAATGCCCACGCAAATTCAGTTGACAAAGACGTTTTACCACAGCCCCCCAAACCACATAAAACGTATGTGTACTGAACAACCTTACTGCCTATAAATTTGTTTTTCAATAAAAATAATTGGTCAACTCTACCCACGAAAACAGGTACTCTATCTGGAGGATAAAAGAATACTTTTCCTGGTGGCCTATGATGGAAAGTATATGTTTTTATATCCTCAATATCTTTTTGTATCTCTTTGATGTCATTTTTAACGGCTGAAATTTCCGTTTGAATTAAGCTGGATAGTTCACCATGAATCCTTATAGTTTGTTTTGCTTGTACCTTCAATGTTTCGACGTCGTCTTTGATGATTTCTAATGTATGATCACTTTGGTCTACTCGTTTGCATGCTTCTTTTATTTCATTTGAGATCATTACTAACGCGTTATGGACCACACTAAACGCAGAAGTTGTGCCCGAATTTATCTTTAGGACATATTTTGCTAGGCTGCTGACTTCATGACTTATTTCTTCTACTATTTCCAATCCTAAAGTCGTTCCTTGTAGAAAATGGAGTCCTGAAAATGCAGATATTGAGTATAATACAGCAAGATACATGAAGATCAAAGTACATTATTAACATTATTTCTCCTTTGAGTTAATATTCATCTACTATAAACCGTTATTAATCTCTCAACAAAACCCAGCGTCCACAATATGCCTAATAAATACATGTGTAATCCTTTATTTTTGAATTTTATTTGATACGATTGTACTTAATGCAAATTTCAGATTTCAACTAAATATAAATTTCCCACAGACGACAGTTTAAATTGAAAACAAAATGGTAGAAAAATACTTTTAATATAGGTCTAAACTCATAAGCATAAAACTTAACAAAAGTATCAAAGTTTAGGACGACTACATTTACAACTCTTATTAATTGAAAGTGACATCGAGTCTAAAAATTGATAGAGTGGTACCGTTTACTTCCCAACGTGACAAGTCTGCTAGTATTGTGGCTTCTGATGACAATTTCAAGTTTCGTATTAGCTGTTGCATCAACTGTAGAGAGGACAAGTATTTTACAGAGCACCATTCATCAAAATTGCAATGAGCCCAAGGATTCCTTACATTTGAACGAAGCTGTAAGAAAATGAGTAACGGTAGAATATAAAAAAGGAATCGTATTAAATGAAGTAATGCTAAAAGTGAGTGTGACATTTTGAATGGATAAATTCCATTTTCAGTACATATTTGAAGACGAGCAGTGCTTTTATTACTTAATTAAGCAGCATTAAAAATGTAATCCTTAAATTAAAAACATAGATAACACTCTTTTAACAATAATTATAATATGATTATGATGATAATAATGATAATAATGAAGGAAACGACAAGCAAATAGAAATAAGAAAGAAAGAAAATTAAGTTAGCTGATTTTTTACCTGTATTTTCGATTCTTTCAAATAATATCACAAAGGAATGAAAGTAGATAATGAAAATCAAATTTGCCGTAACTACCACGAATACAAAAGGAATTTGAAATTTCAAAAGCGACTATGTTACTTCTTTGGAATTGATTAATATGCAATAAAGCAAAGTAATAAAAGGATTACTTCTCAGACTATAATTGAAAAAAAAATAATCCTTAAAGAGATAAGGTTGCTTTCCTTTTACTCAATGGTCATTTGATCTAATAGAATGTATATATCAAGGAAATAAAATAGAAAACATGCTTCAACTTTGCAAATATAGAAAAAAATTAATGATATTCAGCTCTTAATACTGCATTTGAAGAGTCTTTACATAAACATTACGAATGTTACATGAAACTGCTTAATTGTTTTTGACGGATATTTAGCACTAAAATAAATCTATTTCTATTGTTTAAACAAAAAATAGCCCTTGTTTTTCAAAGACTGTTGGATTTTGTTGGAATGACTCGAAGAGTTAGGGTTAGGGTAAGGGTTTGGGTTGTTTTTTTTTTCGTTTTTAAGTACAATTTTTAAAAACTGTATAAACGTTGCAAATATCTATAAGACACTCAAATATGATTAATTCTTTAGAAATAAATCATGGTTTTAAATTTAAAAGAACATTTGTGAAGCTGTCATAATAGAAATTTAAGTGTAAATTCAATGACGAGTAAAACTACCATAACGTCGAAAGATGGACAATGGAAGTGGTTACAAGCTTCCAATTTTAATGCCTTTTTTTATGCCACTAGTCATCATTGCGGTATTTGGAAACTACGAAAAGTTTGTTTAGAAAAAAATGAACACAATGCGTTGTAAATTTCATGCGTCCTTAGCACTTTTCTAGATTTACCTTCATCAGGAACGCTCAAAGCCGAATATTTGAAAGCCAAGGATGTATAAGAACCAAAATAGTTGAAGAGCTATATAACCAAAACGGATCTTAAAAAAATAGCCAAATCCATCTAAGGTCAACTGTGCCTGAGGGAGTTGAAACCTTAGTTTCTAACAATCTCAAAATTTATTTACGGCCAATTTTAGAAAGGTTTGTTATAAATCATGTCACTACCGAAGTTCTGACTACTGGGCTGATGATACCCTCGGGAACTGATAGTCCACTAGCAGAAGTATCGACCCAGTGCTGTAAAAAATGAAAACAACACGTTATAAATTTCATGCGTCCGAAGCGCTTTTCTGGATTTACATTCACCAGGAACGCTCAAAGCCGAATTTGAACCTGACATCGCTTAAACTATATTTGGACGTAAAGAAAAAGGTGAGTTGACTGAATTTGACACTTTATTGAGTTTAAATCAGCTCCCCTTATTTACAGTGATGCGGTACGCTGTTTGGTGATAGATACTTTAAACGATCTTTAAATAAATAACAGCAAAAGCACTTTTCATTTTATAATTCCCTCAGTACTAAATCAAAAATATTCATTTAATTAAACATAAGTTCCATAATGAAATAATAAAAAAACATATTTCAAATGAAGATTAAAGGTGTACTGTGTATTACATATATTGGCGATATTATATAGATGGGGCAAAACATGCCGTCGTTTTAGGTGCCGATGTTTTGTATTATTACGATGTTAATTATTGTTGTTTCGAATTTTACACGCATAAAAGGATCACTATATTTTACTGTAATTACTTCAAACAAAATGTTGATTTTAATTTTGAATTGGTACAATTTCCGCTGCTAAACACCCAAATTCGAACAATGATCGAGATGCATGAATAGAAATTGCAAGATCTTACAGTACGCAAAATATTTTCATAAAATGTTGCAAACGTGTCCACGAGATTCAAATTGTTCTTACCATTAAAAGTGTTGAGTGATCCAACACTCTGTCATGAAAGTACTCACTTTGTTTGCAAGGTGGCCAACAATAGATGTTACATCAGAATACATGATAATATTCAGAAGTGCTGAAGAGTCGCATGTTTCATCAAAACCTGCATATTGCGCCATTTGCGTATTAAGGAATAATTTTGACAAGTCGACTGCATTTTGAATTTTATAATCAAAGTTCGGGTAATCCTTCTTTCCCCGAAATGGAATGCTTCTGTTATTATTAACCGCTTCGTAATTTAGTAATCTTGCTACCGGATATTTTTGTAGGATATTTGGGTACATTTGCACATCGATTTTATGAGATCGTTTTAATGTGTTAAACAGTCTTGTCATTGACGACGCGACATATTTTCTAAGTGCTGGTGAAACTACATTATGAAGACATATTCCAACAACTAGCCATCTTTTTTGGTTGTCCTCTAAATCAGGTTTAATCGCTGCAATGAAAATCAATTATGTTCTGATTATGATTATTTAAGACTAAAGTTATCAAACACAAAATGGTGTTATAAATTCCTTCTGGTTCACCTCAATCTTATAAAAATCCGATCTTGAGGTTTGATTTATTTATTGTTGCATGGGTCTGTAAAACATCCCATCAGGGGAAATGTTGAGTGACCTTTCAAGGTCAAATGAAATATTCATTTTCAAAATTCAAAAAGATTTTTTACAATTTGCTATCAAAAACATAAACGGATAAATTGCAAAATATTTCCTCTAGCATTCTAGCCCCTTAACATTATTCCGTATTCATGTAATGACTTTATTTTAAAAAAATTTGAACTAATCAAAGCAGACAAATTTTCATCATTTATTGTTTTTGATTATAATAATATTGATATAATCAATATAACGGTAAAATTTTAATTGTGTGCATCAATGTTTGCAGGTAAAAATGCCAGCGTATCATTCGAAATGATTGTTCGATCAAAGTTTTCATCATGGTCATCTAAACATGGCCCTTATGGGTTGGCTTCAGACCTTGAACACCACGACAATCAAATCTAACGGAGCAAAGAGTTGGATTTCAAATATTTTGGCCTCGAGCATCACTTAAGATGTACATTGATTGTCGAAATGAGCGTCTGGTGCCAAATATTTTTTGTACCATTAATGTTATTTTAATCAAATTGGAATCACTCTTATCCAATATTAGTACTGTGAGAACAAAAAACAATGGTTGGGGACTTCCTTCATTGCATATCTCCTAGTATATGATATATAGATAGAAACCGCAAGGTGCTTTGACCTTTAACCTAGAATTATAAATTTTGTTTATGTATTGTCAACAAAAACACAACATACTGCAAAACAATTAAATTGTGTTCCAGTTCTTATGTTTTTAATGTGTAACGATCATACGACTGCATATAAAAATCTAACAGAACATATATTAAAAAAATACACAAACCTTGTGGTTTTGTTCTAGTTGCTATTTCTACCACGATAGGTTCAAGATCTAGAGATACGTCTACTTGTGGCGTATTTAGTGCTATATAACCTGCCATCTTATGATTGATGAATCAGGTTTTACATATCTTCATGTCAAAAAGCTGAAAGGATTTTTTTTTAAATAATGTATACATATACATTTTGAATAAATGATTCTTCTATAGGTCATTCTTCTTAATATAATATGTAATAATTATAAGTTTGATGTCTTTTTTCATCTCACATAGGCTTATGGTTGTGACTGTCTGTTCACATGGAGCTACCAAATAAGCTGTTTGGATAATTTCCTTTTCGAGTAGATTTAATCTATTCATTGTGACACGCGTTGAAATTGTATGAACTGACTAACTGAAAATTTGTACTTCTTGATTCCATCTTTATCAATCATTTCTTTTGTAAAATAAATTCGGGAAAAATCAATTCTTTTTTTTTTATTTGATTAAGATTTAGTTTCATAAGGTACAAAAGATTAAAATGTTGAATAATATAGCCATCGTGTCTTTCATTTGTATAAATGACATGCACAAATTTCAAGGCCGGTGAATACTTTTATCTAATTCAAATTCATTGTTTTTTTTTCAAATTCAAATCGTTATTGTCTTTCACTATACATCTTCCTTCTTCGAATATATATATCAGTAAGTTAAGTAGTTAAGGTCACTATCTGAAACCATTTGTTGATACAGTATTATTTATAATGGTTGTGTTTGTACGTTTTAGCTTTTGTTTGTTTTTGTTATTCGTACACCGTTATTGTAGGTGTTACTGCTCCTTCTGTGCTGATTTTTATTTGACGTTTCTATGTATCATTTATTCCATTAATTGAGATTATAAAGAGAGGACTGAGACTAAAATAAACTATCCATGTGCTTGTCACAAGTCAGGAATCATAACAGAAGATGTTTTTTTGTTATGTTCATATATTGGGGGATTTTGTGTTCCTGACAGATCTTAATTTAAAATTATTGTTAAATTATTATGTATACGCCTGTTTATTGTAAAGATTGTTTGTTGAACTCAAGTGGTCTTTTGGTTATTTGTGTGGTAGGATGTTGTCAGATTGACGTGCACACACCATCTCTTAATGTATATACCACTCTTAGACCCAAGCAGGTAATGACTTTACCGAACATGTCATATATTCCAAGCATTAATTTAAGATATGTCTTTCAGTCTTGACGGGTTTTCAAATAATTTTATTTGTAACTCGGACTTTGTGGACATGCCCGCTACAAAAACAAGAAAGCATAAAAAGTATTTCAAAAATGGACTCACATGTTGCTTCTTTCTTCTGATATTCTAACTTCCATTTATGTATCCTAGTTGGTATTCCATTTTTATTTATAGCAACTTTTTTTTAAACGTTCTGTTAAACATTTTAGGCTTTCTTCATCCATTATACAAACATCACATTTACTTTAGTATGTATATAGCAAAATGTTAAGTAAACTGGCTGGTAAATGTCAATGATGAGCTTCTCATTATGACGATAGGTGACAGAAATTTCATTGAAATAACGATTCACACCCTATTTACCGAGTGACTACTTTCGAAACACAACTTAATCATTAGAGATTACCTGTGTTTAAAGAAGGAATCATATTTACATTTGCATAATCAGTGTATGTAATGAGCGAATTCTAAAATGTCATTTTTACTGTATCCGTGATGAATTTCTGTTGTAGAATGCTAAATAAACAGACGACAAATTCAAGATTTTTGAATAAAATAAGAAATTATATAATTGTGTACTGTTTTTATAAATTCATGATATAGGTATGAGATGCGGACGGGTTTTCATCGCGCCTACAGCCATCCAGGTGCAAAATTGATACACAAATAGATAAATATTAAGAATAGTTCACAAACATAGCGTGCAAGAGATTTAAAAGTAGCAGTTAAGTTTCATTTGCAGAAAAATGTACCTTTAAACATAATTATTAATGTTGTTTAACTTAAAACAGGTTTTGTTATTCAGCTTGTTGATATTGAATCAAATTCCACTATGCTGTTTTCGTTATGCAATTCATGTTAAATGTCGAATAATGATACTAGACTTTCATTTTCACTGTAGGGCGATTCATTTCTATGGTATATGCGATGCATTTTCACAGAAGGAAATCAATTAATCTTTATTATAGAAAGTCTTAATTCAGCCGACTCTCTAACAAATTTTATGAAGTCAGAAGGATTGATTATATTTGCATACTTAGTGAGTGAAAGTCTGAGGTAATATATCAATAAATTCCTTACACATGGTATTTATTGCTAATATAATCAATTTTATTTTCTCAAATAATTTGTCATGATCTATATGTAGGATAAAATTTATTCTTTCCTATGACACGTCATCATTTAATACATATATCTTGGACAGTTAATCCAATCCACGTCACCGGAAAAGCAAAGTTTCTGTTTCGGTCAAAATCTACATCGCATACTAATATATTAAACGTCATTTAGATATAGAATATCATATGGCTTTTTCAATCTCACATCCGTATCAACCCGTGACACCAATATAATCCCAAGAGCTCTGCTCGAGGGATTATATTGGTTGAGGGTTGATACGGTGTGTGATATTGGAAAAGCCATATCATATACACTTTATTATATACATATACCTCACGTAGATGTTCTTTATGTGACATGAGGTCATACAGATAAGGAGGTTTGAAATAGCGTCATACATATTATAGGTTTGACATGACATCATAAAGATTAGGGGTTTGATAAAGCCTTTGCAACAGTGACTAACTGCAATCGATGACGTGACGTCATACAGATTAAAGGTGTGATAAAGCCTTTGCAACCGTGCTGATATCGATATCATCACGGGTGGCTGATACAGCATCCTTGCCAATGATTGTATTACACATACAATTTATCTTGTCTTTATCTTGCAATTGAATTCCGAGTATATAATAAAGCTAATTTCCTAATGCTTGTAGTTAAAATGTGTGGTTGGCCTTGATTGTGTATTTATTGCTTAAGCATTGTAATTAAGATTGAGCAAACGTTTATACAAACAAAGCAAACAAGCCAACCAAACCTTTAAACTACAAGCATTAGGAAAATAGCTCTAATGGATGCATTTGAGACAACAAAGAGCATTCACAAACGATCTTCATTTCCCGATTCAATGAGTGGAAACGTTTTCATCTTGCACAAACAATTGACGCTTGGATGACTGGATAATTGATATTTATCATGCCATTGTGTATAAATCTTATACAGTAAAGAAAGTTCGATCAACAGTCGAGTCACCTTAAATATGCTTGAATTTCTTATAAGTCGGTGTTACAAATAAGCCAATACGGAATTGTGAGAATACAAAGCAATATTGAAAACAGTTTATTGTAACATGTTTAAATGGTTCTATACCACGGGGTATAATCGCCGAACAGTTGATTCGGGACGATAATCGCTACATCGCGAAGCAATGTTGGAAGTTATACCGTTCTTATATTTACACCAAAGACTAATTGACTAACTGTTCAGTGAAGTATTCAATGTTTATGAAAAACAAAGTTTACTGCTCATGACAGCATTGTATATCATTTATATCATTTATGTTACATGAACACCATGTGACAATTTTAAATAGACAGGTCAGTGAATTACTTGTAAACATCGCAAAACAAACACTATGTGTAACTCAAACTTGATTAAACTACAAATAGAGCATAGTTGGTTGGCTCTTTCATTAAATGCGACCGTGTATTTTGTGCTTTGTTGTTGTTTAAATACATAATACGAATGAGAAACCCGTTGTTTTAATTCTATTTGAAGACATTTACTTGCAAAACTGACCTCAGAATTTTGACACTGTACGATTCATTCTCTTTGTAGTTTGTTTTCTTTCTTTAGTACCGTTCGTTGTGCAAAAGCCTATCAATACGGTAGAAATATGTATGACACGGCTTTACAAATGTTCAAAGCTTTTTTTAACCGAGTAATAAAACTTTTCAAGGAAAATTCGTCGTAGAAAAACGTTATATGTATGGATGTTCTGCTCTAGTAAATTTTCGGATCCATGACAAGCTAATAGTAACCAACAATATTTGAATATTCATGATATGAACGTGGTTATGCCCGTGTTTATTCAAGTAAGCATCTACGATTAGCTTGCATTTCAAATTGTAAATATCATCAATATTAAAGTCATTTAAAAACTATTTTCAGTTGTTGTATGTCGAATAATCATATAAAACGACAATGAAAATTCATCGCACTTCCAAAAATTCCACATCAGAAATGATTGCACTTACAGTGATAATTCATCGCATCTATAGTTAAAATAAAATCGCATTCAGTAATCAATATTATGGATTCTGCTGCTTAAATTACACTTTTTTTTTACTTTAATCCTTTTATTATACATTAAAAAGTTATATTCTAATGAAATTCTGTTAAAACATACATTCAAATCTATTATTTTGTATTTTCAAAAAGTAAACAAACGCAGTTTTTCCCATCATCCTTTATTCTACAATAGACATACTCGCATACAACAGTGAACATGAACAAACTGGATTCGCACTTTATATACACTGATAATTAAAAACATTAAGTTACTAAATTATTTATTACAAATTATAATTTAAAAAGATAAAAGCAATTCAAATTCAAATTGAATATTTAATTTGTTAATGATTTTACGTCAAGGACGTTTATACAACTATGTACGTCATTTTCTATTTTAAACAGTTAAATGGCAAATATGAATACATCAAGTATATTCAGAATTACTTAAGGCATTTAAATCTATTCATCAAAACACGACTACATCGCAATGTGCAATACACAAATACAATAAAATTAAACTTGGCTCGTTCTGGAAGAGTAGACTAAACATTTGTCATTGAACTAATGTCGAACTATAATAATGGGTTATATAGACATATTAAAAATTCGTTGCTTTTATTCATAGAACAGTGTGTCTTATATATTGCTTTTTTTATATATATTGTATGTATGTATCCTTTATAATTATGATATATGTTTGATCAAAAACCTGTCAATGTAAACTCTCAGAAAATGATGAGACTCGTCAAAACTGTCTGAACTGTTACAAGTCTTCTTGACAATGTTCAATACGCGCTAGTACCCAAATAACTTCTATGTAAGCATTCAGATATACGTTATTGTACCTAAAACTTATCTACTTCAAGCCTGTTAATTTATTAATCGATTGTCGTTTGCCTAACGTCCATTGGCAAGTATGTGCAAGCATGATCAATGTCATATGAAACTGTACAATTTGGGGATCAAAAATATAAAAAAAATGGGGACCAGATAGTAGAAAAAGAGAAAAAGTACTCAAATCATAAATTCTTTGCCATAACAAAGGACTATACAATGACCACATTAAGCCACCTGTCCCGGATCCGCTCCGGAATACAAAATAGGCACTGCAAAGTAAGTCGTTCGGGTCTGGGACGAAAAATGTCGAATTACATGGCGAAAAGAGGGAATGTTAGAATGGAGCACTATCTCAACAACTCAACAAAAGGGTAACGGATTTGACTTCGGTTCAGTCAATGAAAGAATTGACAAGACAGTCTTATCTAAGTTTCCCATCTTCAATAAAAAGTGTATTAACACTACAGCAATTTATATATGCTATACAAGACGATGATCTGAGGCTAAGACTTGGGTAATTTAACCCTAAATCTATTCACGAAGCAGAAACACTAACTGTTCGACTTGAAACATTAGCTGAATGACAAAAAAAGTAAATGGTTCGACAGGCAGATTCAGTTTATATAATCATGATAAAAATAAAGCTTATGCAGAGTTGGCTCAAGACAAACTGGAAGATTTTCAAACATTTAGACATAAGTTATCTGATTTTGAGAAGGAACTTGTATCCCTAACCAGAGATATAAAGGGTATGACAAAAAAAATCAGCAGTTAATCCATAAAGGCGATTCAGACGCACGACATTTAATAAGGGTTATTTTCGTTTTTCTTCACTTGAACGGAAGTGTTAGTACTTCTTACATTAAATATTTCCAAGAGATAAAATACAAGTATTGCATTAAGGTAATGAAAAATTCATAGGCCATCGAGAAAGTACGCTTCTTTCAACAGATAAAGTACCTGTATTTGTGGGCAGATATGACCAATTGTTGCCTTTGAAGAAGAAATTTGGTTTTGTGATGAAGAGATGTGGAAAGACAACACAGTCAACTGAATTTAGGTCATCGTTTCATCTTTTTTATTCAGATCGTTCTTATCTTCATTTTGGTGAATCCATCGAATTCTTGAAAGATAATATCAAGACATTTGTCATATTTCTCATCAATGTATGTTTAATCGGAGGAAATGGTAACGAAAGATAGAACAAACCCCTTGATAGAAAATAGATGATTCCATAGATAGCTACATGACATTGAAAACCGACTCATCGATTATTTCTTGTCAGATAAAAGGCAGTTAGAAGCGAGACATCAAATGAAATATAATAGGCACACCAAGAAAAACACCAATTGAAGTTGAAGAATCCTCACACTTCAAAAAGGATTGAATTTCTCTAATCTGAAGCATGATCCTGAGTGGTCAAAGAAAGCGAAATTATTTTTATCTGTAAACTCCTTACACCTTTTCGGATAAGATCATAAAAGTTGGTATATAAATAGCAATGTAGGAATTGACTACGCTGAAGGTTTGGGACTTTTGATGTTTGCACTGAGACAAGTATAAAAGGAGATATGCTTTTCGAGTTATCCAGCAACTAGTGTAATATTGTTAGGTAATTGATGCAAGAAGGTGATGGTTTAAAGGAACTTGATAAAAAGTGTAGTGTTGAAAATTTAATATGACCCGTGAAGGCGTAGTCTCTAGAGGTCGAGAAACTAAAAATTTTATTGAAACAGAACTATTATCACACGATTCATGAGAACTTTTGCCCTAAGGACAGACAAAAAGACGAAAATTTGCATTGTATTTCCAGTTTACAAGTATATAGTAATATATAGAATTGTTAGAAGTCCTGCCACACTTTTACATACAACATCGTAATATCTTGTGTATAATTAAAACTAAAAATATTATTTGTTCCAAAAGTTTCATAATTCTATTGTAAAATATTAACGTATGTATGAATACAAATGGGATTGAAAAGTGTAAAACATTAAGAAAAGGGTTTTTTGTAGCTGCAAAGCATTTTCCATTAATCGTTTCTAAATATGAGAATCCATATCACTATGTTGAATAAATAAAGGCAACAGTGGTATACGGCTGTTCAAAATTCATAAATCGATTGAGAAAAAAACAAATCCGGGTTACAAACTAAAACTGAGGGAAACACATCAAATATAAGAGGAGAATTACGACACAACAGAAACACAACATTAAAATGTTGAGACATCTTTTATTCAAATTGAAACTATAGCTTAATTATTCTCTCATTTATCGATAAACGAGATTAGTACATGGGTAAACTACTGTCGCCTTAATTAACATTTTGAAATGGAAACTCAACACATGGTGTCGGAAATATGGCAGCTGTTTTTCATTCGTTTATTTCAAAGTTTTTATTTTTTTTAAAGTGAAAACCCAATTTATCCATGATTGTAATGCTCCAATCGGGGCTCCATGGTTGGTACAGTATATAAAAAGTATAAGTCTATAAAATAGGGATGTCAACGAGTACTCGAGTACTCGAGTATCGCTCGGTAGTACCGAGTATCGAATACCAAAATGATACTCGACTAATCGGTTTCCTGTTAGAATGTTGTTGCTTTCTTAAGCTTTAACAAAAATTATTCTTATTGAGAGCGCCTTCCGCGAAATTAAATATTAATCACAATTGATCAAAACGAAAATACGTTTCGAATGTTTGCGTTAAATTGTAATTTAAAATCCCTCCGAACAGAGGTATGCTATGAACAAGAGCACCTTTCCAAGGCTTACACTTTTAGCTAATCTTAGTCATTCCTCCACCTCTGTACCATCAGAGCAAATATTTTCATCAGCAGGACTGTTAATTACGTTACAAAGTTGATAAATCGCCTCGTCCCAGAAAAAGGTGACAAGATAATATTTCTAAATAAGAACAAATTCGTTACACCCTATGTCGACCCTCCAAACATGATTAAAGGCATCAGTAAGTTCTAATCATCACCTCTTTGTTGATATAATTTTGTGTTTCCATTTTGTTGATGTTTTTCCGAGCGAGTACTCGAGTATCGCTCGGTAAATCCAACGAGTACTCGATTAGTATATCTTTACCGAGTTGACATCCCTACTATAAAATAACAAAATAGAAGATAACAAACCAACGGCTTTAAAACTTGGAAAAAACGTTCTAAACTTTAATCGGGTTTGTCCTCAATTGATGGAAATGAATTATTCAAGCGTAATGTTTACACACAAAACATTTTACAACCCAGATTGATTTGCTAATTAAATGTTATAAGGTCAAAGAAGAAAGCATTTGATCAGATTTCGTGTGTTCGAAACGCTTTTCTTGATTAACCATCACCAAGAACGTTCAACACTCATAACCTATAAAACCAAAGATGTATAAGACATGCAAACGTGAGGTGCTATATGACCACGGGGCCTAAAAGAATAGACAAATTCATCTAAGTTCAACTTTTCCTAAGGTTTTGAACCCTTTTTTTTAATTATCAATGTAAGCAGGTGCAAAATTGAGCACAGTCACAGTAAAAGTTCTGTAAAATTGAGTTATACAGGTGATGTCGAAGTAGATATTTTTGTCGAAATCGAAAGAAAAATTGTCTGCAAGGCTCAGGCTTATTAAATTGAGATATAGAAATATATATTTAAAAAAATCTAATTAAAATTGAATTCATAATAATGATCGAATCAACGAAGGTCTTTTTTTACCTGAAGGACATTATTATGAATGTGGTAAATTAAACGCAATTAAAAAGATTAGAATAAAAGATGTCTCAACATAGTGATATGGATTCTCATATTTAGAAATGATTAATGAAAAATGCTTTGCAGCTAAAAAAAATCCTTTTCTTAAAGTTCTACACTTTTCAATCCAATTTGTATTGAATGATTCATTAAAATGATAATAAAAACATAGGGTCTGCATTGTATATAAGAATGAAAGAAGGCAAAAAAAAACCTTTCAGTTCAATGAAAACACATAAAATACAAAGAAAAAAGTATCCTAATCGATATCGTCTTCCTTTAATACAATGGATATGCAGATTTTGCAATAGATTGGCATTCTGATTGGTACCAATAGTTTGTGTTCAAGCGTCCTTTTGGTGTGCTTTGGCATGTTTAATTATTTCCAGGAATGCAGCATAGCATGTTGTTTATATGATGTTTTCAAATTCTAGCTTATTGAGATTGATGAAATATAGAATATTTCTGTCATATGTATACAGATGCTTTTTATATTAGTTTGTTCATATGGTATCTGGACGTTAAGCAACCAACAATCAATCAATCAATGGTATCAGCATCTCCGCCGAAAAAATGGAATTGATCTCAATGCAACTCTATCAAAAACATCTCGTATTTTGTTTTATTTTTAATGCAATGATTTTGGGTGTTTCTCGTTGCAAAATTTCGATTTTTGATACATATTTCAATCATACAAGGAGTTGTGATAGGAATTTGTAAGGTCAACGCATAATTTCTATTATGTGTTAAACAAGAAATTACATCACCAATAAAGCCAAAGATAAAATTTTAAGACTACACAAACATTTCTAATTACAGTGTAAATTTGCGTGTTCATCATTCCTACATATGTTTTTTTTTCAATGTAATGTTATATGTTTTTTCCAGTGTAATATTATATATTTTTATTCTCCATGGCTAAAGTTTATTCTAAATCAATATGTCACACACGACATTTCTATGAATCTAGCATTTTCATGAAATACCATGCCACTGCAACTTTCTTTTTCCAAATCTTATATGAAGAGGATATTATTAATGAGTGTTTTCGTCATCGCATTTGCCTCAGCGAATGAGAAACGTTTTATTAACTCCTCAAATGATGGAAAAAGTAATCCTCTTCTCTGGATGATTATTAATCAAATATCAGGAATTGATTCAAAAATTACTAAGTTGCAAGATAAGGACGAGCAAATGAATAAACAGATTTCAGAATTAAATCACCAAGTTAGCAGTGTCTATGTTAAAGTTATTTCAAAAATTAAAACAGAGATTAAGAATCTTCAAAAAAAACATACCAATGATGATGGAAGAACAAAACAAATTCTTAAACTGACGGGAGACGTTAACAAATTAAAACTCAAAGGTAAGGATTTACCTGAGAAAATGTATGTATTTTCAATAACACTTTTTTAAAGTATGAATAAAAAAACTCGAGCTAAAGTTCCACTTATTTAAAAATAGCTAAGACATATTAACAACCTGAATTCAAAGTCAGCCAACACGTATTTTAAGTTTACTCGTACAAATGTTTCGTAGGTAAATATAGCTATTTTACGATCACAGTAAAAGAAAAATGCATAAAATTTGCACATAATTTAAACTCTGAAAAACTAAAGAAATTTGCAATTATAAAACTTATATTGCCTCTAGGAAGTATTTTTCAAATGAACATGAGCTGGGTCTTATATCGTATATTGGACTGGGACAGTGGTCAAATGTTTATATTGAACTGTGGCATGATGAGTGTTTTGAAAAAAAGTATTCAAAAATTTGTTTCCGTTAAAATTGCTTGAAAATTATGAAAAATTGCAAGATGATAATACTTTTCCGCACGTGGCAGGTATGGTCCGACTCCGAACTTAACTGACTAGGACTTTTATTTTTCTTACCGAATGTCGGTTAATCTCTCCGGGCAGTCCAGCTTTCTCAACCAATATAAATTGGCCGCCACGACAAGCAAAGAGTGCTGAAAGTGGCGATAAACGCCAACAATCAATCAATCATTAAGACAAAACACATATAGGATATAATGAGAATTACTTATTTTCGGTTAGTTACTATTTAACAAATCGTTCATGGCCTTTAAAAGAAATATTACCGTGATAAGAATTATATTTTTAAATCGTATTTATGAATCAATAATTAACCAAACAGCACAAACACTTTAAAATACTTAAGTGTAACGGCTCTATTCTATATTACACGAACAAAATGGATGAATGTATTATCTTAAAATATTCTATCATTCTTTTACTAAAGCAAAATATATTTTTTTCTTCAAACGTTCTCTATAAATATTCATCACATCAGTGTAATATAATAAGTGACCCGTTATCCTGGTCCAATATACGTTAAATCGTCGAAGTATTATATTGTCAATGTGATACTTGCATGGTTAAATGGACCTACTAATGTTCTAGTTGTAATAAAAATAGGAGCAATAAAAAAAATTAGTATGGTCTTGCATCTTAAAGGTGGCCTTTGTCGAATCTCGCTGCGTCGTTTATACAAGTGTTATCTTTTATATTTGCATATAAGTAAATTGATAAATTTACTTCTTAAGCATGTTGATTTGTATATGACTTTTGTAGTCAAGAAGCCATGCGAATCTGGATGGACATTGTTCGGAAATCATTGCTACATGTTTGAACTTTCGAAAGTGTCTTGGCACGCGGCAAAGGTATGTTCTATAATGCATACTTAATCTTCGAAATCGAAAGTGGTAAGCTGGACACATCTTTCAATTCGTTGTCTCACCAATTTCAGCGAAACAATTATGATTTCTTTTATTTCATAAGGCATAGACTATTCACCTTTTGTGTTTATTAGTGGGGGATGTAACATGCTGTATTGTAAACAAATTATTTTAATCTGAATTTAGTAAAAGAAAAACAGAAATATTTGTTTCGGAAAGGAAGCGAAAAAAAGAACTCTATTGCAAATGTAACTTAGTAAAAAATATAAAATCAACATTGATTTTTACAGCATTTTTTTTTTGTTTTTATGTTAGGGTAATATTTTTTTTATGATAAAAGTGAAGAAAAAAACTTTTTTTTGTTCCGAGAATTGCACTTTGTGACCACTTGTGGCCATACCAACATGGTCATAATAACCATAATATACAACAGAATAAAATAGATGCAAGTTATGAAACATCTATCATAGATTTTAGTTGTTTGCTTAAAGTCCAATGGAAAACATTTCATGCCTTTTCAGGACAACAAAATAGATAGGTCCCGTAGAAGATCGACGGGGATGAAGAGCTTGAATTTCGACTGCCATTGTTTCTGCTATTGCCACTGAAAATGTTAAAAATTCATTTAATGTACTTATTATCGTTGTAGAAAGAATGTGAGCGTAGACTGGGCCATTTAGTAAAGATTGAAACTTCGGTGGAGAATTCATTTTTGACATCAATGGTAACGGCATATGGAAGTAAGAAAAGTGTTTATACGACAGCAATGGGTTATTTTTATGTTGTTTTGTTAGAAATAGATATAGGAAGATGTGGTATGAGTGCCAATGAGACAACTCTCCATCCAAGTTACAATTTATAAAAGTAAACCATTATAGGTCAATGTACGGCCTTCAACACGGAGCATTGGCTCACACCGAACAGCAAGCTATAAAGGGCCCCGAAAAATTGCTAGTGTAAAACCATTCAAACGGAAAAACCAACGGTCTAATCTATATAAAAACGAGAAACGAGAAACACGTATGAACTACATAAACAGACGACAACTACTGTAATCAGATTCCTGACTTAGCATAGATTGAATGTAAATAAATTCTTACTTTGAAAACAATTTCAAAAGTATTAAATACAAAGATACAGAGGTATGTAGTATCTGTATGATAACACAGGTCTCGAAAATCAAAGTAGGGAACGTCCACAGTAGCATGAAGATAAAAGTCTTTTTTTTTAATTGTCGAGAATACCCTGGTAGCTCTTTTCAACAGTAATAGCGAAAACTAAAATTTGTAAATGACAAAATGTCTTATCATTAATCAAATGTATTTCCCCAAGCGGGAGTCCATCTTCATCCGCTCTGTATATCATGTCTGTGTATCATACTGTGCTGCTAACAACGTTGCTCTATGAAACTTTCTATGATATACAGAAACCAATATTAAATGTAAGACGGCAGATATTTAACGTCAAGAACCTTTAGTAGACTGTTGGTAGGTTTAATGATAAGGTATTGACAAATATGGCTGTGTTTACACCATACAAAATACTCTGTGTACAAACAGACCTCATTGTGGATCCTCGAGGGTAAACCTGTTATTGCAATTGGTGTACTGTTAATTATGATATCTATAATAATATCCATTATGTTTTAGTATGGATAGTAAGATAAAGGATAGTATCAGAGTTGACACGTTCACCCAAAACAAGCATGACAGAATATTGAATATTTATTGCAAACAACGAATTTTTTTTTATCCAAATCCTGTATCCAAGCGCCTGTGATAATTACTAAAAAAAATCGAACATCAGGGAAAAAAAGGAAAAGAAAAGGGGGAGTCGATGCATCAAGGGGATGTGCACAAGTGTTGTGTGAAATTCAAAATTGAATAAAGAATGTGAGAACTTCAAAAAAACTAACCTATTTATAACAGTTACCTCTACAGTTTCACAACTATGTCATGTTAGGATTTTCTGATTTCCCTCTGTAATGAAAAGTTTAATATGCCAAGCTATTTTTTCAGGGGGAAACAAAGATTTTTGGATAGGTTTGAACGACTTAACCAGAGAAGGATGGTACACCTGGATATCTGATTACTCAACTGTTACATACACCGACTGGCTTTCTGGAAATCCGGACAATTCTCATGGGATTGAGGACTGTTGTGAAATACGTGGATCCAACTGGAATGATGTAGACTGTTCAATGTCATATAGCTTTATATGTGAGAAACAAGCACAGATTGATATCACCACTGGCAAAAGACATGACACGATTAGATAAAGCAATACATTTTCAAAGAAAGAAATGTCTTTTATAGTCTTATTACAATTATTAAGATAAGATGAGGAAAAGGATGTCTTACATTTTTTTATTTAATTATGATGTGATGTAAAGGGTATATATTGACTTGAGCATATTCTTGGAAGTAATATCAGGAAAAAAATGAAAAACTAGTAATACTCACTCGTCCCTATCTTAAGTAGAAAACATCAACCATTGCATCTGGGTAAAGCGTTTAAAGCGTTTGCACGATCATGGTTTTTATCATGAAAACCTACATCAAAAACTTGGACACTTAACGTTGACAGACGTTGATAACATAGAACTCCATCCTTTGACGGTATCTGACAAATCAGAAATGATTTTAGAAAACAAGGTTAACTAATGCACATGCCAGATATGAATTAGAACAGCAAAACAGCAAGTTCGAACAGAATTGCAAAAGTAAAACTGGTTGACAAGGTTGAAATAACATAAAAAGTCATAGTTATTTTGACATGAACAACGAATCGTTGCTGTAAAAATTAAAACCACCAGAAGTTATAAAGTTTCATGTACATAAAAGTAAACAATGGTTTTACACTAGTCATTTTTGTGCCCTTTATAGCTTGCTGTTCTGTGTGAGCCAAGGCTCCGTGTTGAAGGCCGTACTTTGACCTATAATGGTTTACTTTTACAAATTGTGACATGGATGGAGAGTTGTCTCATTGGCACTCATATCACATCTTCTTATATCTAATATATTTTTTTACTTAGTGTTTACTGCCAATTGGTGAAACTCTTTTAATATAAACATTTGGTCGTGAAAACAGGACTCTTTTACAAAGTTCCATATGGCAAATTGTTCATAAACATTGATATCGTGTTTGGTTGAAAGCTTTGATCGTGTAAACAGACCTCGTCAGTAGTTGTCGTGTGTCATAGCTTAATGTTTACCCCGTTATTTAGAGAATCGTGTGTTCATAGCAGATCTGTTTCATTTATTCACAACTTTTATAGACCCGGAAAGATTTTTAAAAAGCTTGACGTATTGTAAACACAGCTGCATATTGTTGAAGACTGTATGTTGCCCTCTTAGATGTCTCTTAGTTGATTTTGTCATTTTGGTGGTTTTCATCGACATATGCCCCATATTGTTTTTACTCACACCTTATCCTTATATAGTAAACTGCTGAACAAATTAAACATGAATATATAACAAGTGAATGAAGGAACAACTTGAGCCCCCAAAAAATATTTAAACCCGTCTTGGTACGCAACCCAGAAAAAAATACATTGAACAAGGAGCCGCAGCTTAGTGTGTTAAGCTCATGTTACAAAACTCTTTTAATTTTCGGAAATGTTTGCAGTTTCAGAGTTTTAAATTCTTTCATCGAAATTCCGTAATCAAATGGGCATTTAATTTGAAACAGTTAACGATATCGACTTGAAACCAACACCAATGTCATACTCAATCGAATATCTGTTAGAAAGACCGTAGGGGTCCTAGTCCATTTTGATGAAAAAGGGTAAAAGATATATTAAGTATCCATTATTACTCATTTCGGGGTAGATTTGTATGTTTTCGTGTACATAGAAAAATAAAAAGATTTGGTATGATTATCAATGAGACAACTCTATACTAGAGACCACATAACGTAGAATTTAACAACTATAGGTCACCGCACGGCCTTCAACAACTAGCAAACCCCTTACCGCATATAGTAAGCTATAAAAGGCCCCGAAATGAAAAATGTAAAACAATTCAAACGAGAAATCTAACGGCCTAATATATGTACAAAAAAATAAACGAAAAACAAGTATGATATACAGCAACAATCGACAACCACTGAATTACAGGCTCCTGACTTGGGACAGGCACATACAGAATGTGACGGGACTAAACATGCTTGAAGGGGCCAACCCTCCCCTAACCTGGGACAGTGGTGTTACTGCACAACACAAGAACAAACTATACAAAACAATCAATGAAAAACAAATATAAGAATCAGCAATAAACGATAACCACTAAATTACAGGCTCATGACTTGGGACAGGCACATATATAATGTGGCGGGGTAAAACATGTTTGCTGGCACCCAACCCTCCCCTAACCTGGATTGAATTCAATTATTTGATGTGTTAGTCGAAGAAATTTCATAGAAAATGTAAAAATAAATGTGATCATAAACCTTTCATCCTTGGTTTTTAAAGTTGAAAAATGCAAGATGAGTTAAATATGTGCTGTATTATTTTGACAAAGCTGTGCTCAATATAAAAATAAATAAATGTTGTGATTGCTAATGAGACAACATTTATTATCTATCAGAGTCCAAATGAGTTGGATGTCAGTACATATAGGTCACCACCACACGGCTGTCAATAATGAGAAAAACCCAATACCATGTAGTTAGCTATAAAAGGTCAGGACATGACATAATATAAAACAATTCAAACGCGAAAACCAACGACCTAATATATGACAAAATAAACAAAAAAGCAGATAAACAGTTATCAACAACCACTGAATTAAAGGCTTCGGACTTTGGGCAAGAACATTAACAATGTGCACGTGTTTTAAGAAAATAAACTCTTGATAAGACTTGACAATTAAAGATTGAGTTCAGAGTTAGCAATCCCATATGCCTCAAATTTAAATAGAGCTACGTTTATGACGAAAGACAGATTCTCATGAGTGCACGCCCTGAATTTTATGTAGAAAGATCAAGGTCTTAATAAAGTTATGAATTGTAATAGATATGTATATCATCCATGAAAAGTGGTCAAGTTGAGATAACCTCAAAATTAATCCATAAACAAATAAAATGTTTCGCTGAGCGCAGCTGGATACGACCGCAGATGTCCAACCCTGAACAGTTGGGGCAAAAATGGACACAATATTCGCGCTTGATACAGGTCTGAATTTAGATTGTAATTAAATATTTGACACATAATAGGTTTCTGACACAGAATAACTGTAGTCAAAGAACTTAGAATTGGTTATATGATTTGAATTTATATTCAATTGTTTGCTTTTGTGCAATACACTATGCTGTTGCGAATTAACACCCTCCCCCCCAAAAAAAATTACCCCCCATTTTTTTGCTTTTGTGAAATACACTAGGCTGTTGCGTATTGCCCCCCCCCTCCCACCAAAATTTTTTTCAACTCCCCCCCCCCCCCCCCCCCCCTTTTTATATTTGAAGAAATTTTCTTTTTAATTTCTGAAATCTGAAATGAAAAAAAAAATTGCCCCCCACAATATTTTTTAACCCCCTCCCCCCCTAATTTTTTTTCATCCCCCCCCCCCTCTTTTCCAAAAAAAAAATCTTTCCCTCAAGATATGGTCATAATCTCAATTCAAATTTTCAATGGAGTTTGCAACTATAATTACCAATTCAAAATACATCATAATTAAGTCTTATAATAGAAAATGACACACATAATCATTGCTAAAATTAATATTCCTTTAATAGTAACTTCTAAGAATAAATTGACAGCTAATCAACTCAAGACAATACAAAATTTCTTTATACATAATTTAAAAGCAGTTTAAGGGATGTAATTCAAACATACACAACATTGTACTTTAAATGTGTTTGGATTACCTCCCTTACACTGCTTTTAAATTGTCCATTAACCAGGAAACCTTTGTTTTTCCCCCTAATTCTTAAACAGTTTGAACCATAACCGCCAAAATCAATCCCAACCTTCCTTATTTGGTTATCAACCTTGTGTTTAAATTTCATAGATTTCTATTTACTTATACTAAAGTTATTGTCCGGAAACCAAATGTCTTCTGACGACGACGACGTGATACCAATATACGACCTCGAAATTTTTGGCGGTCGTATAAAAACAATTTACCAATTAGAGGCTTTAAATAGCCATTGTCGCTCAGGGGCATAAAAATGGAAAACATCTTTTCAGCGCAAAAACTCATATAAAGAGTCATCTGAAAATAGACAAAACTTAAATTCCCCCCCCCCCCCCTCCACAAAATGTTCTATTTTAAGTCTTGGCAGGCAGAATCATTGGACACTTTTTAACTAAATACCCCAAGGATGATTGTGGCCGAGCTTTATTAAATTTAGCCCAGTGGTTTCAGAGATGATTTTTGTTAAAGTTCACGAGGACGAAAGCCAAGCGATAGCAAAGTGCCATTTCCGCCAGTTGAGCAAAAATGGACTTCATCACAAAACCTTAACCAATAACCATGAATATGTTGTCAAAGTCAGATGACCCCCGTCAGGTAGATATCTATAATTTACAAATATTTTTGCCGTTGAACATGAATGACCTCATGCTTACAGTACCTGAAAAATATCTAATCATGAAACTAAGTTGACATACGAACCATGAATATGAGATCAAGGTAGAGGAAATTCTGTCCCGACACATGTACACCTTACAGCCGTTCAATACACCCAATATACATGACCAAACAAATTGTATTTGAGACAATGATATAAACATAAAAATTACTTTTTACCAATAAACAATGAAACTGAGGTCAAAAACAATGGACAAGTGCTGGATGGAAGCCAAAGACAACAAAGCATCTGTGGGTTTTATATAGTTGGTCTACCTAAAGAACTATGAAACTATATACTCTGGATCTATAACTGCCACCACCAGATTAGTATTCCCATAAGTTCCGTTGGAAGTACTCCAGAACTGGCATTTTTGATAAATTTAGAAATTCTTATATAACAAAGGTTCAAACTTGCTCAGGAAAAGTTGACCGGAGGTGGTTTCTTTATTCTTTTCAGAACCCTTTTGGTTATATAGCTCCTGAAGTATCAAAGCATTGATATATTCTTGGCCTTAGATTTTTTTGGTTAGTCATCTTGATGAGAGGCCTTTTAGATGCACTGAATTTATGATACTAGTATTTCCATTTACAGGACGTTCTTTATCAACATATTTTATTTTTTTTTAAGGATAACAAACACCAAAAGATGGCACTTAACAAAAAGTACTCTCTGGAGAATTATGCAAATTATATAATCCCAACTTTAACAGGCATTCTGAGGGTTTTGCATGGCAATACATAGTCCCCTACCGGTTAAAATTCATTATACTGGAACAAAATGCTAACTTGTTATATAACTTACCATGGAGTACACAAAAAGTAAATATCATGTCAATATCTTCAAGCACGACTAAAAACAGTGTGGAAAACTGATTATATGAGTGAATTTTTCAAGTCCAAGGACCATAACTCTGCACAAAATTATTAGACCGAAACAAAAAAATTAACTTGATCTGTAACTTGCCATGATAAAACTATATACCAATTATCAATCAATATTGTATAAGCATGATGAAAAAAACATTAGATATGATTAATAGTTCTCTAAAATTAAATATGATGTAATACAGTGTATATCTATTTTCAAATTATAATCAAATATAATTAATAGTTCCAAATATTTTTTCTTTCATTTGTCACAAACTAATAAAGATTTGTAACTTATCTATAAAATGTCAACAACTTTTATCTACACAATGTAATGTATTGAAATATATACATAATAAAAATAGATTATTATCTAATTAAAGGATTTCTCTTCATAATTTTTTTTTATATATATAGCATTCAGAAAATTAGTTTATACTAAATAACTAACAAACCTGCTAAAAAATTCTTCAAATAATTGAACTAAGAATGTCTTTTAAAAAATTAGTTATCTCCCTTTGTACAGAAATATGGTTTAACATAGTACTCTAACACTATTAGATATGGTCCAGAGTTATGGTCCATAACTCTGGATTAAATCATCAGACCAGAACAAAATTTGAACTTGATCTATAACTTGTCATGATAAAACTATATACCAAATATCAAATCAATATCTTCAAGAACGAAGAAAAAAAGTGTGAACAGCTGATTTGCCGGACTGACAGAAGGACAGACAGACAGACGGACGGAGTTCAAACCTAAAGTCCACTTCGACTTCGTCGGTAGGGGACTAATAACACTAAGGTGTTCAAGCTTTCTCTGTATGGGTTCACTGGTAGCTGGTGATATCAATTTAAACTTGACACTTGTGCAATATGGAACACATTCTACTACTTGTGCCATCAATTATTGACAAAACAATAACTTGTACAAAACTCAATAATTTATTAAATATAGTAGTACAATGTCAATAAATAACATCATACATATTGTTTAATGAACGATAATAATGTGGACGACTTGTATGAATATTATCAACTTTGATCAATACTTGTACACTAAATACAGGAATCACCATTGGATATAGTTGATGTATGGTAAAAAATGTTCATACTTATAGAATAACTAATCGAAGAATTCAAATAGAGAAAAATATTCAAAGAGTGACCGAACAACACATTAATTCACGAATGCGTGTAGCGCATGAGTTAATTATCAGTGTTGTTCGGTCACAAGTTGAATATTTTTCGATATTTGAATTCTTTGATTAGTTATTCTTTTTATTACATTGGCAAATGGCTTTTTTTATGAAATTAAAGTAGAAAATGTAAGGAACTATATCTTTTTCTACACATTCACAATTTGTTTTGATCCGACATTATCGACGTCTTGACAACGCCTATTGTTGTATGACGTCAGAGGAGTGAAATAACCACGTTTATTTCACATGTGAAATTATCGGTTTTTATTTCACTGGGAAATCAATGTAATTCATTGCAACCAATGTAATAATTGTATTTAAACTTATCAAAATCTTATTCCTAGACATCTTTCACAGATCATTTTGTGGGTTATCTCAAGATAAATATCCAACATGAAAATTCAGCAGGAGCTTTATCCAATAGTAACCTTCAATATAAGAAACTTTAAAAATCTAAATGTTGCTTGCTTAATGTCATTAGAATCTTGTTCAAATAGTGCATACCTTGATATTTAAGTTTACTACATAATTCTAAGGTGAAACAGAGAATAAGTCAATTCTGGTGATTGAAGATATTCAAGGGTGCGGTACATGGTCTTGGATGAGCCGATAAGGTGATCCCTGATTTTAGAGGTAAAAATATCTTAATCAATATGGACCCAAGCTGTTTTCTCTCTAACAGTTACTTTGGACATATATGGTTACAAAAATAACACTTCAGAATAGCTTATATTTGTTTTCTCTTTTCTTATCACACCTACAAAAATATCTATGGATGATAAGCCAAATTCTGTACATTCCAAAGGTATGAGGTACATTTAAATGGGATGGCCTCCAACAAGAATGCCTAATGTCCAGTCACAACTATTTCATGCATATTCTGTTCAATTTTTAGTCCTAGTTTCATTTTTTCAGTTAAAATTCTTTGGTGTATTTTAATACTTATATAATTTTGCAAAATATATTTATTTCAGATTTATTAAAAATTCAAAAGTTTTAACTAGTACAGGTTTGATACACCTTGACATTTTGTTCAACTGTGTACAAGATCACATTTTAATGATTGTATATTTGTCAAAGACACAGGTATAATTTAAGATATTTTACAAAAAATATCCACTCAATCATAATGCCTTACCCAAAATATCAATGTATATGCAAGTTCCTTACAATGGACATTTTATTTGAACATATACTACATGTATCTAATTACCTTAAAATACATATATTGTACGAAAGCAGTTTTGATTTTCATATTTAATACCCACTTATTTTTTTCTATGTCAAATGGATTTCTTTAACTGGCAAATATAAATTCAAGATTTTATTTTATTTTATAGGGTCACACTTAAAATTCTACCATAGATCATGCAAGAAATTGAAATACACCATATAAGAATGAAGCTTGAAAGAAATGAAATGTAATCCATATTTGAAATATTCAGGGCAGATATCACATGGAAATTTGGTAAAATATATGTCTCAATGTTATTCTTTTATTTTCTTTAAAACCAGAAATATAAATAACATTCATAAATTAAACCATAGCAAAACATTTTCACATCAAAATGCTTCAAAAAATAATATTTCTCCAACATAAATATGACCAGAGTACAATCATTCAGTACACGTTAGTACATTTATAGTATATTATGCATTATTTTTTCAGAAGAGTACTCGTCTTGTACAGGTTTTTGAAAGTATAGCTCTACATCCCAACTCTGGGGAAGAATGACTAGCAAATTCAGGTACCCAGCTTATCAGCTATTTCATTGTTACAGCAGACGTCAAGTTTGCTTTGCCATAAAATCAATAATTCAATTGTTTTCCATTCATCAAAAGAGTAACCCACCAACAAATCAAATCAAGGTTAACAAAATGACCGGAAAACCTGTTTGTCCACTTTCTTTCTACATTTACAATAGTAAACAGAGAAACCAAGGTTCACCTAATTATCAAGTTGAACAACTCAAATTAAATGCACTTGTACACATTCTTTTTTGTTGTAAAAAAAGGCATTTCTCCCTTTGTTCAAGGTGTTCCTATAAATGGATGGCAGTTTGGCAAAATATTGATAAAAATATTTGAAAAATTTTATATGAAATGTGTCATAAATAAGAAAAATGCTTCATTTTATCATAATGTCCTTCTTGACCGTTTGCTTGGTGGTGCAGATGATTCTGGTACATCTATATTTAAATCTTTTAAACGTTTCTCAAACAATTTTGATAATGATAGTCCCGCTTTGAATTCTACACTTGTCTTTTTATTGTATTCAAAGCAGTTGGAGAACACTTGGCGGACGTCTGTTACAAGGTCAATCAAATTGGAATAACCGTAATTATTTATTTTGTTTCTAATAGTGGCAAAATCCATTGGTCTGCTTATAATCAGATGGTAATCTGGAACCTGTAATATAGAAAAACAAATTATAATTAAACTTTTAACGCCTACAAAATACATTTTTTTTTCCGTATTGGGTTGTTTGTCAAAATGATTATCAATCAATAAACAAAGGAACAAAAATTGTACGGCACTGTTAATTTTGGTAAAGTTTTATATTTTCTTCTCAACATGTACATTTATTGCATGCCTCTCCAATAACTTTTATTTAAGAATTTAATAAGTAGTTACCAAAACTGGCTTATCAATATGGAATTTTATCTTATAGGAAAAATATATTAGAATGTAAATTTTTTTTTTATTTTATTCTTTTGGGTAATTTTCTGTAGGCCTTGATTGCTATTATAATATTTACAGTGTTATAATATTCATCAGGATTATATTTCATTTGTTACATTGGTCAAGTGCATATTAGCATTTATTTGGATGACAGAATTTTTCTGTGGTACCAGACAATCATTCAAGAGTTAATGTGTTGTTCTGAGAAGACTTCATTAGTAAGATGAAATCACATATGATCCAATTTGTTGCTTTAGCATATAATAAAATGTTTAAATTAAACTAGTTCCTCTAATAACTAATGCTGTCAACACAAAAATGCAGGGTACAAAAACAAGTTCCTTACTGAAGCCTTCTGAATGTTATATGAAACAATAACTAATCTAATGTTAATACCTATCTTAATGTAATGATTTTATATAAAATATTGTATATATAAGAATATGCCATTTCACAATTCTTTATGCAGTTCAAGTCAATGAAAATCACAAACTATTTACAGCCAAAACAACATGTGAAACTGCGAGCTACTGCTCACTGATGATACCCCCGCCCAAATATTTCGGAAAACAGGAAGTTGTTGAGTGATGAATCTGAAAACGCATCACACGGTATAGATGACTTATATAAACACTGAAACCAAATTTCAGAAATCCTTGTATTGTAGTTCCTGAGAAAACTGACGAAAATTTTCAACTTGGCTATCATGTGTAAAATGATACAAGAGTTCAGTAAACAGGAAGTTGTTGAGTGATGAATCTGAAAACACATCACAAGGTATAGCTGACTTATATAAAACCCTGAAACCAAATTTCAGAAATCCTTGTATTGTTGTTCCTGAAAAACGAAAATATTCATTGGACTGACGGATGGATGGACGGATGGATGGACGGATGGATGGACTGACGGACAGACAGAGGTAAAACAGTATACCCCCACTTTTTTAAAGTGGGGGTATAATAATAAATATTAGTTCTGAGAATCTTTAAGAATATTTTGTAATTACATACCAGTTTTTTACTAACAGGTTTTAAGAAAGGCCAACAATCTTCATGTTTGACTAGGTCATGGACGATCTCTTCACAGTTTCTCAATAGGTGTACTTTAGGTGTTCCTCTAGAACTACTTGCTATACTTTTGGCTGCACCAAGATCCATATCTGAAAAATACAACATACAAAATGTTGAATGAGCTTCCAAACTTTTTTGGATTGTTCGTGTACTTCGTGCAAAACCATGAAATGCTTAAAAAAAATAGAAGTAGTGAGTAATTGACAATATATCTTGTCATTTTTGATTATATAGCTCTTCAACTGTTCTGGTTTTATGAATCCTTGGCTTTCAAATATTCAGCTTTGAGCGTTCCTGATGAAGGTAAATCCAGAAATGCACTTCGGACACATTAAATTTATAACATGTTGTTTTCATTTTTTACAGCACTGGGTTGATACCCCTGCAAGTGGAATGTCAGTCCCCGAGGGTATCATCGGCGCAGTAGTCAGTTCTTCAGTACTGACATGATTAATAACAAACCTTTCTAAATTATGCCAGTCTATAAAATCTGAAATTATAAAGAAACTAAGGTTTCAACTCCTTCAGGCAAAGTTGGCCTTAAAAGGATTTGGCTATTATTTTAGGTCATCTTTGATTAAATATCTCTTTAACTGTTTCAGTTTTATACATCCTTGGCTTTCAATAGTTCCTGATGAAGGTAAATCCAGAAAAGCGCTTCGGACACATTAAATTTATAGCGTGTTGTTTTCATATTTTTTATATATGGATAATTAATAGAGAATATCATATGGCTTTTTCAATATCACACCTGTATCAACCCAAGACACCAATATAATCCCAAGAGCTCTGCTCGAGGAATTATATTGGTTGAGGGTTGATACAGTCAATATTGAAACAAGAGTGCACACGCTGAAATGTCTCGCCTTCTTTACTAATCATTGATATTATGTTGATAGTCCTAAATATAAAGCTTTATTACAACTGTCACATAAACTTAACATTAACCAAGTAAACTAAACATTGACCAATGAACCATGAAAATGAGGTCAAGGTCAGATGAACCATGCTAGGCAGGCATGTACAGCTAACAATTCTTCCATACAACAAATATAGTTGACCTATTGCTTATAGTTTAAGAAAAACAGACGAAAACACAAAAACTGAACACTGAGCAATGAACCTTGAAAATGAGGTCAAGGTCAAATAAAACCTGCGTGACTGACATATAGATCATAAAATATTTCCATACACCAAATATAGTTGAACTATTGCATATAGTATTAGAAAAAAAGACCAAAACTCAAAATTTTAACTTTGACCACTGAACCATGAAAATGAGGTCAAGGTAAGATGACACCTGCCAGCTAGACATGTACACCTTACAATCATTCCATACACCAAATATAGCTGACCTATTGCATGCAGTATTAGAAAAAAAGACCAAAACTTAAAAACTTAACTTTGACCACTGAACCATGAAAATGAGGTCAAGGTCAGATGACACCTGCCAGCTAGACATGTACACCTTACAATCATTCCATACACCAAATATAGTAGACCTATTGCATACAGTATAAGAAAAACAGACCAAAACACAAAAACTTAACTATAACCACTGAACCATGAAAATGAGGTCAAGGTCAGATGACACCTGCCAGTTGGACATGTACACCTTACAGTCCTTCCATACACCGAATATACTAGACCTATTGCTTATAGTATCTGAGATATGGACTTGACCACGAAAACTTAACCTTGTTCACTGATCCATGAAATGAGGTCGAGGTCAAGTGAAAACTGTCTGACGGCCATGAGGACCTTGCAAGGTACGCACATACCAAATATAGTTATCCTATTACTTATAATAAGAGAGAATTTAACATTACAAAAAATCTGAACTTTTTTTTCAAGTAGTCACTGAACCATGAAAATGAGGTCAAGGACATTGGACATGTGACTGACGGAAACTTCGTAACATGAGGCATCCATATACAAAGTATGAAGCATCCAGGTCTTCCATCTTCTAAAATATTAAGCTTTTAAGAAGTTAGCTAACGCCGCCGCCGCCGCCGGATCGCTATCCCTATGTCGAGCTTTCTGCGACAAAAGTCGCAGGCTCGACAAAAACCTTATCATATACACTTTATTATATATATTTACCTCAAGTCAAACTAATCTCTCATATATTTTTCACGAGACATGTAATAGATATTAGGGGTTTGATAAAGCTTTTTGTAACCGTGACTGATATCGATTACCCGATGTCATACAGATTAGGGGTTTGATAAAGCCTTTGCAACCGTGACTGATATTAATTTCATCACCGATGGCTGATACAGCACAACTGTCATCAGTTGTATTATACATACAATTTACCTGTATTTACAACTAAGTATATAATAAATACAAATATACAACAACAAAATTAATATCCTACAATGTACATGTATGATATAATGATTGAAATTTGATAAATATTTTAGGAGCTATCTACTTTTTAATCGTCATCTTATTATGCCAATTTCTGCTATATGATGTATAATTGATTTCAGGTAGAAAGATACTGCTTTCATCTCACTAGACAATTTCTCTCAAAGTTTTGTGTTTAAATTAATAAAAGTGTTAACATAATTTTTTTTTCAAAAAGCTGTGAATGTTTTTGAAAATTTACGCAATGAAAGCAAGAATAAGCCTCAATACTTTTAGCAAAAAGCGCTTTTAGTTTTATGCTAAATGTAAAGATCACTTTTCATCTTGTATAAATCTTTAAAAGTTTGCATTCATTTCTACAATTAGAGTCAACAAACATCACAATGTCATTATACGCAATGTATTTCTCTTGATGTTTTAAAACCACTGCAATAATGTCATAAAATTAAAGACCATCTTTGCCAATTTGTTAGTTTTTTTTAAACTGTTCTTGTAACAGATTGGCATTTAAGAACATGGCTAAATATTTTGTTATACATTGTACCACCAAAAAATAAATTTTACCATCACTAACGCTACATACCTCCATTTACATGGGGAAGCTTAGATGCTGAACGGCCACCTTTCTTTAGTTTCGGACCATTATCTTCTAGTTCAGCCAATGGACGTTTCCTGGATCCTTTTGGAACTGTTATTGGACTTTCTCTAGGACTACCTTTTCTGCTATTACTTGGTGTTGACTTAGGTGTACATTTCAGCTTTCCTGTTAAGATATTGCATGTTACCTGATTAAAATGAAGATCCTGTGTCCATGTTTGCTGACAAGGATCAGAGACCGTGTTCTGTTATAGTTTCTATTATTAGGGACCTTTCTGAACCACAGAAAGTAGGAGCAAGTGTGTCGTGTTATGCTAATTATGGAAGCTGTTAAATGTTATTTCAATGCAAATATTTTGACTTTAAATAACTGAATTTCGCTTTTCAGATCTTCACACTCAATCATGACACCTTTCGTCCAAGAAAGAAAGTAAACATTAATATGGAAGAGAAAGGTTATTGTGTATCCAAATATTACCCTATGTACTGTATAATTTTTAATCAAACATTTTTTACTTTCTAGCCTCTCTAAATAAATTATATAACTCGTCAATCAAACGCACCTTTAGTATGTTTTGGTAATTTGATTTTCCCAGATGTTCCAGTACCCAAACATATCTGACATAACCATTTGCCTCTTGGTACTTTTTTCAGCTGTGGATTGGCACATCCGAGATGATAGAACAGTGGACAAGCGTCACAACAAATTAGAGTTCCTCCCTTATTACACACAGCACATTCCACATCCTCCTCGTCACTCTCCTGCTCCTCTTCTGAATCTTCCTCTTCTCCTTCCACCTCCTCTTCATCCGATGAGTCATCTTCTTCCTCACTGAAACAGACCATCATAATATATTTTTACTTTGGATTGATTGATTGTTGGTGTTTTAACGCCACTTTTAAGCGCCACATTTGGGCTATTTCGTCGCGGCCAGTTTTTATTGGTGGAGTAAGCCGGAGTGCCCTGAGAAAACCACCGACCTTCGATAGGAAAACTGACAATCCTAGTCAATTAAGATTGGAGTCGAGTGCACCCGCTCGAGCGGGATTCGAACTCACAACCTCAGTGTTGACTGGCTAGTGATTACAGTAGTAGAACTACTTAGACCACTTGGCTTCAGAGGCCCCCTTTTTACTTTGAATTCATTATTATTCATGGGATAACAATTATCATGGATTTGGTGGGTGAAGGTAAACCACAATTTTAAATGTTCAAACGATATTCAAATTTTCTATAGGCTTGTATGCAGACGCAAGTAAAACCATGAATTCGAATTTCTACCAAAAAGTACCAATTTTCCTAAATCCACGAAAAAAAGTATCCTAAAAAATACAACTGTGTAATTACCAAGACAATGTAGTCTTCTTCCATGGGTTTTGTTGGGTTTACTAACCATTTCATCACTAAAATGACTGCTTTGGATAGAAAAGCATTTAGTACCCATCTGGTCAGATTACTGAAGCCTAAAAACACAATAGAAGTTGATGTCTAGTATTTTTCGTAAAAGGGCAAGATACACTTGAAAAAGGGCTGTTCCAAAATTGACAAAAAAAGTTGGATCAAGGACTAGCAGTGTAGCATAAAACTGGTTAGTCACTTTTTTTCCCTCTTTTTAAAGCATGAATTACCTTGATGATTTCTCTTCATTCTCCGATTCTTCAACAAATGTTTTTCTTCTTCCTTTTAACGGACTACGCTTTATTTCTTTTGGTCTACAATCAGGACAAAACCAATCTCCAGTCGGAACAATCTAAACAAAAAATGTTCATATATATAATTCATTTCCAAATTTTATGTACAATTTTAATGTACAATTCATTTCCAATTACGGCCATAATAAAAATGTAATTATCACTGTCAACTAAAACAGTTACCCGTTATCTTATTCCCAATTCGTAAATATGACCTAAATTTTTTAGGACTGTTCATGAGACCTAGGGGAGGCACTTCAAATTCTAAACTACTGTAGATTCGTGTATTTTGTAGGTACCAATTTTCATGGATTGAGGAAAACTTGCATTTTCCTGGATATTTGATTTAGTGGTTTAGCCATAGTCGGCATATATTCCTATAAAACACTTGTACTTTGTTGTTACCCTGTATCCACGAAATCCAAAAATTGGTATCTAACGAATAATAACGAATCCACAGTATGAGTGGGTGTCAAGAACAATTAAGATGCACATGAAATTCTGTAAATTGCCTCTTTATGTGGTTATCTCATTTTGAAACCAATCCCTGGGTACCATTTAAAAATTCGTATGGGTTTCGCAGAACCCAGTGTCTTGCCTACTTTTGCTGTTAGTCGCAGGCTCAACAAAAATGGGGAAATAATTATTAAAAATTTTCTTCTAGATACTATCTTTTGAATGTAAGAAGCTTCTGTTCAAGTTTGGTAAGTATCCAGGTTGGTTTATGAATCTAATTAATGTTTTAAAAACTTTAACTGCAGACTGTATGTAATGTTAACTGGAAGAAAAACTAAGTCCATTTATATGTAATATACGGAAAAACAGGAAATTTTTTTTTTAAATTTATCAGTAAAATACGGATAAACAGGATTTTTTTTTTTACCAAAATTTACCTCTGGATACTATCTTATGATCATAAACAAGCTTCTGTCAAAGTTTGGTAGAAATCCAGGGTAGTTTAAGTAAGTTATTAAAATTTGAAAAACACAGAGTGAATATTTGTAGACGCCGCAGACGAAGACGACACCGCTGACGCCGACGGAATGTAGGATCGCTATGTCTTGCTTTTGCGACAAAAGTCGCAGGCTCAACAAAAATAGGAAGATGTGGTATGATTGCCAATGAGACACCTCTCCACCAGAGACCAAATGACATAGAAGTTTCCAACAATGAGCAAAGCACATACCGCATAGTCAACTATAAAAGGCCCCGAAATTAAAAATGTAAAACAATTCAACCGAGAAATTGTATGTATAAATATAAGAGCTCTTAGTCGGAAAAATTGCACAGGTTCACATTTTATTGGGAGATAACTCGAGAAAACCACATATACTATATATCAGACAAGACAATTTAAAGTAATAAAGCTTTCACTTTAATGAAACTGACCATGAAATGATTCCCTTACATTGTAAGGGGTATAACTTTTAAACAGTAAAAGATGCAATGTTCTGTTCTAAATCTAACTGTTCTGTGTTTTTGAAGTAGGTGGTGGTTTTTTCCCTTATAAAATATAATCAACAGGTAAGGGAAAAACTAAATCTGAAAGAATTAGTAAAATCCAAATATCAATGTCCATATGCCTTTGAGAAATTGATATCTCCAAGTAATTTATATGGAAATATTTCTGTCTCTTGTACCTCCAGTCCCATTTCTCTGCCTTAATTTAACAAAATTCCACAAAACTGTAAACCTACCTTAAGGGGTGGCTTCAGACAATAAATATGATGACCACGATCACATAGATCACACAGTAACATCTGATCTGCATTTCCTTTTCTCCTACATACTCTACACCTGGCATTAAGTGCAGACTTTGACCATGCGATACTTTTCTCTAATGTTCCAAGATATAGGAAGATTTGTGACAGACTTGTACAGTGTAATAAAGAATCCTGCCATCTTTCTAATGTTGTCTTCTGTGGCACTTTTTCTTCCTCAGCTATTAATAGAAACATAAAATGAATTATTGTAGTCTCCACATTTGGTTAACAGTATGACACATTCTACCTCTGATTACAGTACAAACATGAGTGAATGTACAAGAGGTGCCCAATTCCAAAAATATAAAAAAAAAAAAAATCCAATACTTTATAATCGAAAATATAGGAACACAAATATGTCAAAATACAGAAATCCAGTAAATTCCAGAAACTTTAATATTAGGAAGGATAGAAAAAAATTGGTGAAACTGTGTTTCCCTTACTTGTACACTGGTATATAGATAATAGATGTGGTATGAGTGCCAATGAGACAACTCTCCATCCAAGTCACAATTTGTAAAAGTAAACCATTATAGGTCAAAGTACATAAGTAGTAAGCTATAAAGGGCCCCAAACATGACTAGTGTAAAACCATTTAAACAGGAAAACCAATGGTCTAATCTATATAAAAATCAAGAAACGAGAAACACTTATGAACCACATCAACAAACAACAACCACTGAACATCAGCTATACATAGTTGAAAAGTTTCTTTTTTTACCAAAATCGAAAATCTTCTACTGTTTTATACTCTATCAACAGAAATGTTTCAGAGAAGCAATGGAAGCAAATTGGAAGCTCTAGCAACACAACCTCTTATGAGGTTAAGCAAAAGCTTTATAATTTTAAGTTATCTTGTCTGATAAATACATGTACATTTATTACATATCATTTCCTTTAGTGATCTCCCTATAAAACATAAATGTAATGGACAGCAAACCATATAATTGAATCAGGAGTATTTTTCAGTAAATTTTTACATTCAATGACAAACCAAGTCTGATTTATAATGAAACAGTTGACAAAAAACAAATATGACCAATGACAACCACTGACAATAGGCCACTGACTAAGAACAGACACAAAATGTGGCGGTGTTAAGCATCAATATGAGCGATCAACCCCACTACTTGAAAGCCAAAACAACTAATATATAAATCATGCACTCCAGACTAAAGTATCAATCAAACAAATTGCAAATATAGATATGAAAACAATATCATACCATCACTGTCCTCTTCTTCTTTTTTCTTCATCTGTTCTTCTTTCTCTCTTTCAAGCTTTTCTTTCTTCAGTTCTGCTATAGACTTTTTCTGTTTTTCATCTACTTCACCTGTATATAAAAAAATATTATGTAAATGATATACTGGAATTCAGTTGAGAGGATTATTTGATGCAAAAGGAAACACATTAATTATTTCAAATGTCCTTTTTAAAGTGTCATATAAAATACAAAATACCAGGATATTTTCTGCATCACATTCATTGTGGTTTCATGAAAAGTTGCTTTAATAATATATATTTAATAATATATCGAATACTTGAGTTAAAGTAATAACTCTGGAATAACAAAAATGGAAATCATCAAAAAGTAAACAGACACTCTCATGTTCAATATGCAACCTTTTTTAAAAGTGAGCAAGGCAAACTAACAGTCTCATATGGTGACTTAACCAGTGGCTGATATTTTACAATATATCTGAACTGCTGAAAAACTGGTATCCTGAATTCAAAATTTTGTTTTTCTCCTGTGTTTTGAAAGCTACCTGTGACAACACAGGATCAAACTTTTTGTTTTTTTGTGTAGTGCATTGTGCACTTCTCTCTATTTTCTTCTCTTAATCATGATGTCCTTCATGGACTTACAACCGGCATTATCTTGCATTTTTTCCTTCAAATAAAGATTTAACATAGGGATTTATCTGAGGATGCCAAGAATTATATAGATGTTGGTAAAAATGTTATCCCAAAATAGTTAATTACCTTAGACAAGCACTTCTACAGACCTTATAACTATATAAGTCAACATAACTATTATTTGCCTTCAAGAACCATCATTACATCTACCAAGGCTACTAGTGAAACAGGAAGTGCTTACCCTTCCAGACCATCTTCATTCACCATAATTTTTGGTGGGATTTGTGTTGCTCAATCCTTAATTTGTAATTTCAGAATCTAACGCATTCTGGGTAATATCTTCAAAAGTGTACACCAAAACGTCGTGATTGGATAAAAACATCCTTAACAATGGACATTCAACCGATGGTGTGACGTTATTTTCATTTTAGTGTACGAACATTGAAATTACCCATAGTCCTTTAGATTCTGAAAGGGTCAATTTTCTGTGTAGTGTTTTGTGGACTGTTGCTTATCTTTTATTCTTTTTTTCTTTTAGCCATTGTGTTGTCAATTTATAGTGTGTGAATGCCCCAAAGGTATCATCTTGATTTTTTTTCTAAGACACTTACCTAATGGTGTTACCAAGTATTTTGATTCTATGCCATGTTGTATTTGCAGTAATGCCTTTGATAAATCTTTAACTATTGACTCTGTGGTATCTCCTGAACTTACAGATGACGCATCATCACATTCACCACTGAAAAAAAAAACACAGAAAAAATTAAGAGTAATCTAATGAAATTCAACCATTCCAGCATTTTTCACAGTTTCAAAGCATATATCCTGGTGAAAAAAATATGCATGACACCAATCTGAAGGACCTATCAATGGTGTCCGTCACACTTTTTAAAGATTTTTAGTTACAGTTTAACACATCTTTAGGGCAGAGGCAACAACTAAGGTAGGTTCAATCATGAAATAATTTTATACGGGGTACAATTTTCAAAAAGTAGATGCATTACACCCTAAACCATGAAGAGGTGACAGTCAGACAGTCATGTCACAACCTTGTGTAACTGACAATTTCAGAATTAATATATATCATATATATAGGAACAGTTAGATATAAAAATAAGATGATGTGGTATAATTGCCAACGAGACAACTCTCCACAAGAGACCAAATGACACAGAAATTAACAACTATAGGTCACTGTACGGCCTTCAAAAATGAGCAAAACCCATACCGCATAGTCAGCTATAAAGGGCACTGAAATGACAAACGTCAAACAATTCAAACGAGAAAACTAACGGCCTAATTTATGTACAAAATAATAAACGAAAAACAAACAGAAACACACCACAACCACTGAATTACAGGCTCCTAACTAAAGTTGGTTTCAGGTATTAAAAATGTCTTCATTAGCAAATTATCAGCACACATAACTTTTTGAGATAAGATCATGTACTTTTATTGTGTAAATTTTGCTACAAGTATGCAAAAAATTTTGTATTGAAACTTACTTTTCTTCATTTTTCTTAACTTCAAACTTGGCATACAAGGGATCATCAGATTGAGGATCAAAACTCCCTTTTTCAAGAGCATCTCTCCATGCAAGTCTATCTTTAATCTGTAAAAAACAAAAGTATTTCATTTTTGATTCAATTTTAGGTGGACAAAAAACAAGTGAGTGAGCAACTTTTACACTTGAAATAACAAAGCATGCAAATCAAGAGTTTAAATGCCTTACTTTGTTTGGTTATTTGCTCAGACATTGTGATTAAGATTGACACCTAAATCAAATGGGTAGACCAATGATTTGTATGGTGAGCTATAGTAAACAGACTATTACTCCGCCCACCCATTGAATTTAGGTGTCAATCTTAATTACAATGTCTGATTAAACAACCAAACAAAGTTTGAAAGCAAGGCATTTAAACTCTTGACTTGCATGCTATATTATTTCAACTGTAATACTATTTTTGTTAATGTTAAAGGCAAGAAATGGCAAATATTTTGCATGCATGATTTTCGAAAGAAAAATTTGTAATTCATTGGTAGATAATTGAAAAGATAGGTAAATTTAAGGTTCTTATTGATCCTTTTGAATTTAACATAAACAAAAAATTGTATAAAACAAATTGTTGACAACTTTTTTAAATACCTAAAAATAAAGCTATGGCTGTGGTTTGATCACGTCATAAGACTGTAACATCATAAAAGTGATAATTGTTTTTTGTGTCGTCTGCTTTAGAAAATAAACATCAATGAGTTACACTTTTTGAAAATATTTTTATTTTTCCTGTGTTTCTAAGTGCGTACGTTCAATAATTTGATGACAGGTTGTATTTTTTTTTAAAGCAGCCTTCAGAGTCATATAGAATTAAGAGAAAAATAAACAGTCCTAAATAATATTAAACTTTCCAATAATATTTCATCAACACTGTTAAATACTCATGATAGAGCACAGCATACACTATAGTATACATCTTTTTTCCCTCAGGGGTTCAAATTAACATTTGGTACTGGAAGGTCCAGGACCTTTGACACTCCAAACTGAAAGGTCCACAACCTAAATTCCAGGTCCTACTTTTACTTGAAATATTTCCTAACATAGTAAGATACAAGTAACAAAATTAATGTGCTGTTGGTGTTAGGTCAACTTGTTTCATTGTCAAAGTCACTGTTGTATAAAATATTTAATAACAATTGTAATTGTCCTGTATATTAATTATAAATTCAGATAATCTTTTTTTTTGTTATTGAGGAGGGTGTAACCATGGGTGGGTGTGTTGTCTCAACTATTGGTAATTTATTACTACTTATACCATTTTATAAAACAGTTCAAATTCAAAGCTGTTTAAGCAGAGACGTATATACATGTGTATATATATCTCTGGTTCAAGTGTATCATATCTAGTTGCACTATTATAATGCATTAGTTCCTCTGTGAAAATAAGATAAGAAACTTCCAGATTTGTACTGGTCCTTTAAAATTGAGAAGACATTACCTCTTGGAATTGTAGTAATACGTTTACACTATACAAAAATCTACATGTAATTAAGGAAAATTATTGTCACATTTTTTTGGATTTTGAGATGAAAATTTATGAACTAAAAGTAATTTTGAGTTTCTGTAAAAAAAATATTTCCTACTTTTTCTGTCTTTTCAATATATCTTTTGGTTTTCAATTCTAGTGTTTATATTTTATCATCATAGATGCATTTTGTCAACTGCCTGGAATTATTATTTTTTCATTGTATTTGATCGGCAAACCCGGAATTACCCTTATCCGCTCCGGAATCGGATCCGTTTTTTGTTATTTTCTTCATTTCCGGTTTATGGCATCCAATGTTTTTCAATGTTGTTTTGTCAGTCAGATACGATTTTACTCGGATTTACACATTACTAGTTGGCAATTTTCGGTATAAAGCTAGCGGTTGAACAAAATGAACATCGCTGTCATGAATAATAATGATGAACATAAATTTTGAGATTGTTTGGAAATTTTTGTTTAAAAAGGTCGGCAAAGTTTATTTTTATTTTCTTTCAAACCGAAGGTCCGTCGGGCGTAGCTTGTAACCAAAACGAGAGTCCGACTTCAAAAATGGAAGGTCGCGGACCTCGGACCACCGCTAATTTGAACCCCTGTCCCTTTTTTTTTATTCAAGCTGTTTTACATAAGTAATATTGTTTTCAATTCTTACAATTTTTTAGAAAAGGCTATTATAAATTTTAGCTCTTTTAGCTGCAAACTTCAAAATGATTGTCTTCAATTAGTTGACCTTACCACGTTTGCAAAACAATTACTTTTGGTTTATAACGTCAAAAGTTTTCTGTGGCGATGCAAAAAAATTACGAGAAAACGTTTTATTTCCTTCTATTTCTGCCAACTTGACAGTGGTGTATTGAACAGAAAATTGTTTAACACAGAATGGTTTAAGCTTTAACATTACCTTCAGAGTTCCCAATGCTCCAACATAAATTCTCTCCTCCAGATCCAATAAAAGTTCCCGTAGATTAATTTCTAGCACTTCCTGAGCTGAGTCAGACTTAATAAGACCTTTTGATGTCTTTTTGATAGTGGACTTTGACTTTTTAGTAGAATCATTATTGTCCTCATTAACGGATTCAGTATCATCTGTGTCTTTAAATATTGCATCTACTGGACACTTATCAATACTGTCTTCAATACGAGATCTATTTTCTAATAATGCTGCTCTCAGAGCAGACTCTCTGTATCCACGACAGTTCAGTGAATTCAGTAAATGTTCAAATTCCTCCTCAGTTGAAATAAAAGCCCATTGATTTTTCTGCCTACTGACTATTTGTCTTATCACTTCATTTTCTGGTAAGATGGGATGAGATTTTTCTTCATTACCTATGTCAACTTCCATTTTTACAACACTGTTTGCATTTCGTGAGTTTTCCTCGTCACTTATACAAACAACATCACCATTCTTCGTAACAGCATTCTGTTCATTAGAAATACTTTTTGGTCCATTAATACTTGTATTATTGTTACTTTTGTTAGGAGTATTTATAGAATCATTTTCTTTATCACTACCATTTTCATCTTTTGGTTTTTCTGTGTTTCCAGTTAAGAATTTAACATCTGATGGTTGTAGCTGTTTCGTATCTACGTGTTTTTCGTCATCTTCTACAAAAAGTCCCTGAATAGAATTGAAAATCCAATATCTCCTATACATTCTGTCTCTTCCTACAGGAACAATAGAACAATTTTGTTGTAATTTGGAAAGATCGTCAAGCACTTTCTTCTCTTTCAAGGCAAACTCTGCCTTTTTATTTGCTTCTTCCTCTTCTTCTTGATGCCTTACTTCTTCTTTTTCTTCAGGTGTTGGTTCAACTTCATCACTCTTGTACTGCCAATCAATAGGAGGCAATTTTGAAACATCCTCACTGAAATTAACAATTAAGATTATGCCAAAATGATATAAATGAGAAATGTGTCCATGGGACACAGATGATGCCCCCCCTTGCATATCATATTAAGTTATAAAGACATAACTGATAAACAGTAAAAGTGACGCTACCAAAATTTGTACTTGATCTGAGATTTGTAGTACTAAGTATTGTGTATAAGTTTCATAAAATTTGGTTGAGGCAAACTTAAGTAAGAGAACGGAAACGAAAAATGTAAAGGGCATAACTCTAGAACGATTAAAGTGACACCACCAAAATTCAAACTTGATCTTTATTTTGTGGTAACAAGCATTGTGTATAAGTTTCATTACATTTGGTTGAAGCAAACTAAAGTTAAGAGAACAGGAACGAAAAATTCAGCAATTTTTCCATTTGTAAAGGGGCATAACTCTAGAATGGTTAAAGTGTTGCCACCAAAATTCAAACTTGAACTGTGTTTTGTGGCAATTAGCATTTCGTATAAGTTTCATAACATTTGGTTGACTTAAACTAAAGTTAGAGAACGGAAACCAACTATGGGACGTAAATTCAAACGTACAGATGGACAAGGGTAAAACTTAATGCCCCCTCCGCTACCCTGGGGGCATAAAAAAAACAAACTTACAATTAGCAAATATAATTAATTTTGCACAATTTCTTCCCCTAATACATGTAACTATCCATCATTTGAATATATTGCTTGTTTAATATGGTTTTATACTACTTCCTGTATTTTCCTACTTCCTCCGGTCTTGTTGAAGTGTGCTTGCCTCCTCAAGTCTGGGTATGTTTCCGAAGTCAAGTCAAATCAAAGACAAAACAAAATATACATGTATTTACTAGTTCTCGGCAAACTGTATAACATTCAAGAGTAACAGCATAGATTAATCAGCAAGGAGTCAAAATAATGTTTCCAAGTAGGGTGATATGTCTTCTTGCTGACCATTACCTTGTAAGCTATCATGTTAAAAGTCTGATTTGTTACGTTGTGATTCACCATTGTATCCCAGGTGGACATCATTCAGCTACATCACATACTTAGTTTAGTATATGTAACAAGTAAATTGTTAAAAAGAAAGAGTCAAAGCATTGAGAACTCACATTTATGGCGGCATTACAAATAAAGTTACCAAAGCCGATGTCAAAGGAGTTGGCTATATTGTCCCGATTGATTGATTTTTTGTTGCTAAACGTTCAGTTGCAAATATTTCATACATGTTTAGAACGATATATGTTGTCCTTAAGAAATCTTTCAAAATGACATAGAATTTTTTAATTCTCACATTGTGGGCGGTCGGGACACCATCTTCAAATAAACAAACTTATTAACAGTTTTTAAGCTAAACAATATGCTCTCATTTAAGAAAAACTTACCCCGCCTCCTTTCTTTTATTTCTTTGCTCTTGCTCTTTCAAACAGTTCTGTCTCCACTCTTCCCTTTTATCCCTTTCTCTAGCCTTTTCTTCCATTTTTTTCTTGTACCTATCATTTAAAACAGAATGAAATCATGAAATAAAAGCGTAGAAGGCAATATAAAACCAACAATTTAATACTCTTTTACCTTGTTCTGGACTTCCCCACACAACTCTTTACCTAGTTCTGGACTTCCCAACAACTCTTTACCTTGTTCTGGACTTCCCCACACAAACTTATTGAAGTAAATTCTTAGGCTTGTGTCCTATTTCAAATTTTGACTGTTCAAAATGTATCTTAGGGTTGTTCCTTAAAAACATGCATGTCCAGTAAAAGTGCTTTGAAAATGGGGTAACCCTCTATAGAGACAATTTAAATAATTCAACTGCGAAAAAATATATTTTACACCAACCCATAGATGATATTTTAAAGTTCAAGGGTTTTTAATTTGTAGTTTTCTTGTGTATTACATTTTAAAGTATTTACTTTTAAACTAAGGCCTTTACAAGAAACATTTCTTGCAATGTTGTTTGTTAAATAGGAATTTCATTTTTACGATATTTACTTTGCCCCTGCTTCTTCTCGTTCCCTTCTTTGTTCTGCCCATTGCATCTGTTTTAGGTCATATCTCAACAGTCTTAACCTTTCACTACCATCTTCAATTGTATCCCTGGAGGCTGCATAGGTCATAAATTGTTGTATCAAAACAGTAATTATTTTCAGACGGTCAGCTGAAAGAGTTAAAAAAAACAACATAAAATTATATTTCTATACAATTAAATATTCATTTGTTCTAAAAAACCAGAAACATTTTTTTTTCCCACCCAAAATATAGTTTTGAGATGCTTGAATCTCAAAAAAGCACACGAAATATCATTTTCCCATAATTTCTATACAATTTCTTTAGAAAAGACATCAATCAATCACACAGAAAATGTTGTTATTTTGAATATTAGAATTAAACTTACATTAGCTTGTTTGTATATCTGTCCCTTTAATTTTATTGTTTCTGCTATCATAAAATAAGCCGATTTATTAGTCTTTCTTACAAGTATTTTTTTTGAAAAATACACAACATTTTCTTCCTTTAATTTCTTTCCCCTTAAAAACCAATGACAGGCTCTCATCTCAATATATTTACTACTAAACCACTATTTGTATTTCATGTTAAATTCTACCAAATTTACTATATTTCAGCTACACATTTTACAAAGACAAATTCTAAAAGCATGGCAGCAACTATACTTTAGTCTGTATTGCATCATTTCAATGCATTTTATGTCCAATTGAAGACTAATCCTTCAGCATGTATTCCTAGCTTACCTGGTGGAAGATCAAAAATTGATTGTAATGAAAGATTTTTCAACAATGCTGTTTCTCGTCGACGGAACTCCAATCCTGGATCATCCAAGGATGTGTAACCACCACGTTCTTGGAAACGGTATTTGACATTCTTGTCACTGACTTTAGCTCCAGATGACAGCAAATGAAGACGAACAATCTCAGATAAAGTGAATGAGTCAAGTGGGAGTTTCTTTAAAAGTAATCCTGAAAAAAACATTAAAATATCCATAAAAAAAACTTTCTACATATCTTTATAAATTTCATGAATTATTGAAAAATTGTATATTTGTGGATATTTGATTTTGTGGTTTTACAAGTCTGCATACATGCCCAATATTATCCAAAATCCACAAAAATTGGTATCTCACAAATAATAGTGAATCCAAAGTATCTGGATTGCAGTATTATACCATACTCTTTGTCTTCCCTAATTCCAGCTCTAGTCTGATCTTCCTTCAACTCTAATATTAACCAAAATTAAACCCTAACTCTAATATCTGATCAATAGACTTAAAAGTAACGAGTCACTCAAAGTTAAAAAGAGTACAAAAAGCTGAATTCTCTACACATCTAAATGGTCCTACCATGAGTTAACATTGGTGTTAATGAACACACAGTGGCAAGTTCCATCAACTGGTCTGTATCTTGTACATCTGTCTCATTATTATCTAGAACTGAAATAGAGAGGAGGACATGTCAATAATAGTTCCAAATGCATTCCTTTTTACAGTTGATCTATGCCCATTCAATTGTGCGTGGCCATCATGGCATAAGTTTATGCCAAAGGTTTAAAACCTACATATGCAATGAGTTTCAAAAGTTTGATTTTACTCTTCACATGTATTTTCTTTATTTTGTGTTGATTACATATATTTTTTAATTGGACTTCCATATCAAAAAGCATTCTGAGAGTATTGCAAGGCAATACATAGTCCCCTACCGGTTAAAAATCAATTGTACTGGAACAATATATAACAAATATCAAGTCAATATCTTCAAAAATGATGACAAAAAGTGTGGAAAACTTGATTATTTAAGTGAATTTTCTAAGTCCAAGGACCCTAACTCTGCACAAAATTATCAGACCGGAACAAAATTCGAAATTAATCTGTAACTTGTCATGATAAAATAATATACCAAATATCAAATCAATATCTTCAAGCACGAGACAGACTGACGGACGGACGGAGTGCAAACCTAAAGTCCCCTTCGACTTCGTCCGTAGGGGAATAATAAAATTGTTTGATTTGATTTGTAGATTTGGGATATTGTCTTGTGTACCATCTATTCCTTATCTGTTCATTTTTGTATATAAGCAGTGTTCTCCTCCATAGAATTTCAGCACCATCTTAATGTGATAGCTTGTTTAAGGTGCTATCAGAAATAATTTCTTATAGATTATGTTATGAATGTGATGCTATAATTTCTAGAAACAAGATGGTATTTCAGATATCCCTGTTTAACAGTGATAAAAGGCTAATATATTTCATTTTCAATATACAATTATAAAATCAGGCATCAGTTTTAAGAATATACACAATAAAATGCTCCGCTGGGGCGCAGCTTGATACGACCGCAGAGGTCGAACCCTGAACAGTTGGGGCAAGTATGGACACAACATTCAAGCTTGATACAGCACTGAATTTGGATTGTAATTAAATATTTGACACAGCATAGGTTTCTGACACAGAATGAAAGTGGTCTAAGAACTTAAAAATTTTCAATTTACCTATTCATACATGTGATGGACTGTGAAACTCAGATCAGGAGATTGGGAAATTTTGGTCAGGAGATTAGGACTCAGATCAGGAGGTTTTTAATCGACATTAATTTTGTTGTAAATGTAACCGTGTGCTGTAAAAATGGTCTTTTAAAGTGTGTTTTCTTCAACTTTCCAACCAATTTATTATGTTTATAGTACCCTTGTACTTATAAAGTTTCTCCATCTTTATATTCTACATGTTCAATCTAACATTGTTTTTTTCCAGTATGTTCTTTAAATTTTTTACTTCATATTCTATAAAACAATCATTGCAACCAGAACATTTGTTTAGCTGTCTGCAAATAGTTTTTATTTTTTTTTTTTTTTCTCTTGCAAATAGTTTTTATTTGCAAACTCAGAAATTCATTCTATCTGTAAAGTTAGGGTTATAGTTATTATATAAATTTCAATTTAAGCCTTAAAAGGAAGTATAGAATCCTCAAATAATTTTCAAATTATTATTTTTTTATTTGTCCTAAGACATTTAAAATCATTCAATAACCATCCTTTTATGATTATTTGTTCAATTTATATTTTATTTATATTCTTTTAAAAATTTTCATTATTAAAAGGAAAGTAACTTAAAACAGGATAAATCAAGGGAAGTAACCCAATAAATACACAGTTTTTGTTACACAACGGAGGTTAGCCTGAGGTAAAAATCGTTGCTTACCAGTATGTTTGACACCCAAGCTGACAAGTGAAGCCATATAATTATGCATGTTAATTGATTTACAGGTAAAATATAACTTCAGGTAATGTCAGTTACACCAGATGCCTGAGATGTTATGTTGGGCAGAAATTTTTCATTCATGAAAAATTTCATACACGGGATTTTTTCAACGGGAGGGGGGGAGGAGACCCCTGAAAACGGGATTATTGTACTCCCGTCGGGAGGTTCACATGTATGCCTATTCAAACCATATCATTATTATTTGCTTTTATATATAAATCAGAAATAACCAATTTAAAATGGAAAATGTTAAAGAAAAAAAAGGAAAAAAAAAATCCCCCCCCCCCCCAATTTTTTGAACCCCCTTATGATTCATCGCCCCCAAACTCAATCCCAGCTTTCCCTTTGTGGTATGGTACCTTGCAGTACAATTTCAGAGAGATTCATACACTTGAACACAAGTTATTGTCTGGAAACTAGAAAAATGCTTGTTTTTTGGCCCCTTTTTGGCCCCAAATTCCTAAACGTTTAGGGCAATTACCCCCAAACTCAATTCCATCTTTCCCTTTGTGATATGGAACCTTGCAGTACAATTTCATAAAGATCCATACACTTACACACAAGTTATTGTCCTGAAACTAGAAAAATGCATGTTTTTTTTGCCCTTTTATGGCCCCTAATTACTAAAATTTTGAGGGAAAACCCCCAAAATCAATCCCAGCCTTCCCTTTGTGATATGGAACCTTGTAGTACAATTTCATAAAGATCCATACACTTACAAACAAGTTATTGTCATGAAACTAGAAAAATGCTTGTTTTTTGCCCCTTTTTGGCCCCTAATTCCTAATATTTGGAGGAAATTACCCCAAAAATCAATCCCAGTATTCCCTTTGTGATATGGAACCTTGTAGTACAATTTCATAAAGATCCATACACTTACAAACAAGTTATTGTCATGAAACTAGAAAAATGCTTGTTTTTTGCCCCTTTTTGGCCCCTAATTCCTAAAATTTGGAGACAATTACCCCCAAAATCAATCCCAGCATTCCCTTTGTGATATGGAACCTTGTGGTACAATGTCAGAGAGATCCATACACTTACACACAAGTTATGTCTGGAAGTTACAAAAATGCTTATTTTTGGCCCCTTTTGGCCCCTAATTCCTTAACTGTTAGTACCATAACCCCCAAAATCTATCCCCACCTTCCTTTTGTGGTATTGAACCTTATGGTAAAATTTCAATGAGATCCATTCACTTAAACTAAAGTTAGAGTGCGAAAACTAATGTGTATTCGGACGACGACGACGACGACGACGACGCCAACGTCATACCAATATATGACCACAAAAATTTTTTTGCGGTCGTATAAAAATGAATTACCTCCAGTTACAGCTTCATCTTGTTTTGACAGTTCTTCCTCCTCAGCCTCTTCTTGTTCTTGTAGACTGAATATAGCTGTCATCATCATAAGTAATACATCAGTTAATATTCCATTATGGTCAGTCTCTAACAAAGCTTCTTCTAATACATCTGTAAAATGTGTTTACATAGCATTTATTATCTATTTTAGTTTTAAAGCAATTTATTTGAAATTATGCACAAGCTGAAAGCCAAAAGGCATGCAGTTTTCATGAAGGGATATTTTAACTGGTGATAATGACTATGAAACAGGCTCTTTTTTCTGTAAAATAAGCATTATTTCGTAAGAACATTTTCAACGTTTACAATTTATGTGTTTGATAAGTATTCGCAGTTTTTGCTAACATCTTTACATATAAATACCATTGTGATTTTTATTTAAGATAAATGAAGAATTATTTATTAGAGAGGCAAATTCAGCAATTGTTCCATTTTTTGTAGGGATATAAATTGAGAACGGAGAAAGTGACGCTACCTAGGTCAAACATGATCTGTGTTTGGTGGTAACAAACATAGTGTGTAAGTTTCATAACATTTGGTTGAAGCAAAGTAAAGTTAGTGTCTAGAAATGGCAAATTGAGCAATTTTTCCATTTATATAGGGACATAACTCGAGAACAGTAAAAATGATGCACTCTACTTCAAACTTAATCTGCGTTTGGTGGTAAAAAAAAAAAGCATTATCAATAAGTTGCGAAACAATTGGTTGACCAAATAAGTTAGAGAGTATAGACTAATTTCAGGACTACTTACATAAAAACGGACAAGGGTAAACCTTAATGCCCCCTTCGCATAAAAAAGGTAAAAATAAGTAAAAAAGCATGCATGTTATTTGAAAACTCAAGCAATTTGATTTTGAACCACTATCTAGGTTAAACTAGGTTTCCTGATTAAACCTCCCCCTACCTTTTATATTTATCATTGAAAGATACTGAATGGTTGCTACACTATCTTCTTTCATGCTTTCTAAATGATAATTAGCTTTGTTGTCAATTACATGCAAGACTAAATCAAAATTGAAATAAAAAACCTGATTATTATCAATTACTACGCACTGAAAACTATTAACATACCAAATGTAAAACCCCTGGGGAAATAAGCTCTTAGATCAAACAAGGACTTGAAGATATTTACAAATTCCAGTACCAAAACACAGTCACCAAACAGTTCTTGTGGAATTTTTGTCTTGATTGGTGTAGGTTCTGGCAACACCTGCAAAATAAAGAGTATTGTTGCTTAGTGATATTGCCTATAGAACAAAATCTTGCAGTTTTCATAAAAAATGTACACTTAAATATATAATAAATGTTATTAGTCCTGACACATTGTTTTCTTGATCATTGATTGGCCACATAATTAACATGTTTTCCCTCATAAATATAATTGAAAAGAATGAATTAATAGATATTCCTACACAGCTTACTTATGGAGAGAATGTAGAAACAATAATCCACATGATGATCTGGTTTCTTTTTCAAAAGTATTTTCAAAGAAGTTGTATTTGACATCACAATTGCAATCCTACCAGTGATGTTGTTTGCCTAAAATTACCTCTGAAATACGGCTTTTTCCCCTAGAGAAAATTCCCTATTACTAAAATAAATGGCATAAAATTCCTCCCAAAAAGTTAAACATTTTCCCCAAACCGTGATGGCATCGGTAGTAATGTACGTAAATTTGGTATTCATGTTATTTTTTTATATTATTAGCGCTTTTGAGATCTGGGGTTTCTTATTAGAATCATTGCAGTGTTTGTAACACACATGGTTTTCAATGTATTAAGTACCTTCAATTTCTTCGTTTCTTTCCCCTCCCCAAAAAGTTCCTTTCCGGTTGAAAATGTCTCACAATTCAAAATATTACGTTAAAAAAACTGTTTTAAAAAATTCCCAATTTCCTTAATTTTCCCAAAATAAAAGGGTAGAGGTAGTTTTGAAAAAAGACAACAATATCACTGCCTACAAGAAATGAGACTTTTTACTTTTAATCTTGAGGTTTCCAGTAAACAGAGTCTGTCTCTAAATTGTAAATTTAATGCATCTGCTTTCAAAATAAATCTCAAATTTAGTTGAGAACTATCCCCATTTATTACTGCAACCTGCATAAAAGGAATCTTGTACATATAAACTTCTATCCTGAGGCAAAAAAAAAAAACAACAAAAATATGTGTTTTAACACCAGCACTGAGTCATTTTTTCTTCTTCAATTTTTGGAAAGTGAAGGATTGAGTTATCTTTCTTGGTATGAAAATGATCTCATGACAGTGCTCCTAATGAAAGGAGGAATATACAGAACTTATAAACATACAGTATAGCAATGTTCCAAATAATAGGTGAGAACAAAAAAGACAAAACAAATCAGATTTTAAGTAAATTGTATGGATTTGAATTCAAAAAGTGCTTTTAATGAATATTTTCAAAACCTCTTCCTTCTAGATAATTTTTTAGTCCAGAAACTGGGAGTAGACCTTGCAATTTGTGATGACTGTGTACCCAAAAATATAAAATGAAAAATAAGTAAAATTTTGAAATGACAACTAATTGACCCTATTTTTCACAGATGTTTCAATGAACACATTTTTTGTTGTTAGTCTAATAGAAATACCTTAAGATCATCACACTCCATGTCATCTCTGTGTCTACTCCATTCTTTCAACTGTTCAGCCTGTATTCTCTTTTCTTCTCGTCTTTTTTCTACTTCCTTCAAAACACATAGAAAAGCAATCATAACTTACTCGAAAAGTATGCATGTTATAATGAAAACTACAAATGAACATAAGGACATGATATTCTAATAATGTGCATGTTACAAAATTTTCTTGAATTCTATTATTTCTAAATTTAAGCAATTTTGATATGTGTGCAACTTTTTCAAGTGAAAATATAACTTTTTTATTGTATAAAGACAAGATCGCAAGTAAACCTATAGTCATTGCTTTAACTCTGTATTTATATCTGTAATGCTTGAATCAATTAAGTATTTGGTGAATAGTCATGTCATAAGAAATTATACATTCAGTTTAAGTTTCTTCCCTGTTCATCAATTCATTTTGGTTAAGCAAATTTTGTACCAGTTATATCCCCATTAAATTCATAGAAAATGGCCCTGCTTGCACATCATATAAAGTTATCAAGGGACATTTACTGAAGAACCGTAAAAGTGATGCTACCCAAATTTGTACTTGATCTGAGTTTTGTGGTAATAAGCATTGTGTATAAGTTTCATAACATCTGGTTGAGGCTAACGAATGGAAACGAAAATTCAGCAATTTTTCCATTTGTAAACGGGCATAACTCTAGAACAGTTAAAGTGACAACACCAAAATTCAAACTTGATCTATGTTTTGTGGTAATAAGCATTGTGTATAAGTTTCATAACATTTGCTTGAGGCAAACTAAAGTTAGAGAACAGAAACCAACTTTGGGACGTACCGATGGACGTACAGACGGACAAGGGTAAAACTTAATGCCCCCTCCGCTACGGCTGTGGCATAAAAATTGCTTGAAAGTATCTATTTAGCATTCAATTAACCCAAAGTTCTGCAATTTAATAAGAAAAAACGCTTTTGAAAATGAGTAATTCAAAGATTGCCTCTAGTGCCAATGTTTTGTTTTTTTAACAGTGATTGCAATAGCTTAATTAATTTCCCGATGGATCAGGTAAGCTAAAGGATAATTCCAAACTTTCATTAAATGAGATCAAAAGGAGTTTTTTATCATTCAAAGAGCTTTGCTCACCCACATGTACCAGAAAAAAATAGATTTTCCCTTTCTTCGTGCATATAGTTTCTTTTGGAAGCTCAATTCCAGGACTGGACCTTTTAATTTTACATTTAATATTTGCAAATTTATGGTATAAAACTGGAAATCAGAAAGTTACCTTTGCTTTCTCTTCCTTTCTTCTTAGTTTTTCTTCTTCCCACTTTCTTCTTAGCTCTTCCTTCTGTAATAATTTCTCCTGTTTCTGCTGTTCTTTGAAAGCAGCTTTTTCTTCAGGTGTCAGATCTTCCTCTGCTGGTTGAGGTTTAGGTTTTTCTATAAATATTGTTTTTCAAAATTTTGTCAAATTTCTCATAAATGAACATCCATTTTTCAGCTAAAACTAAATGCACAAGACTGGGGGCAATAATAGCTCACAAATGATTTCCTCATTATAAGGAAGTTGATGAGCACTGGTTGTGAAAAAGCATCTACCAGTATAGCATGCTCACATGACGCTTGGTTCCAAATTTCATACATTGCAAATATGTGCAAGAATAAACAAGTACTTGGTAAACAGTATTGTAACGAACAGATCATGGAACATGTAATTATCGTTGAGAGTACTTTTCTACAAATTTTGGTAGAGAAATTGCCTCATAAATCACTCTTCCCGGTAAATATTTATTACAAGAAGTGTAATAGCCTAGGGCATAACAAAATGCACTAATAATTTGTAGTCAGACCCTAAACTAGAAAAATTACAAATAAAACATAGTGAAATTTCAAACCGATTTTTTTTTCAAGGACCTGTGAAATATAATAGAAAAAAAGGATATGGGGTATCCATCCATGACACAAAATCAGTACATGCACAGCAAAATGTATATATTTTTTTATAATGAAAACAGAAAATTAAAAAATGTTTCATGTTTTAAACAAAATTTAAAAACTTCAGTCATATTTTGAACAAACAAAAAAAGCTCTTAAAGACTCATGTCCTTTAAATTTGTAAAGATTTATATTTTCCCATCAAACAGTTTCAAGTACCTTTCTCTTTCTCTTCTGATTTTTCCTTATCTTTCTTATCCTTTTTCTTTTTAGATGATGTTGTAGTCTCTGTAGTGTCAATGCTCTTCTTTTTCTTGGAAGATTTTTTTTTCGATTCAGTTACTTCAAAAACTGGCATAACACCAGCATAGAAGTCAACAAACTGCATGGTATCCACACCTCTTTTTTTAAGCACACTAACCTTTAAGAATAATGATTTATAATTATCAATGGTTACAATACAGGGTTTGACACTAACTAAATGTATGTACTAGCCTGCAGGGCTAGTGAAATTATTATTCTACTAGTCCTCTTGTCAATTTACTAGTCCTCCAAGTGCCGAAGGCACTTAGATGGTCGTGCCACCGGCATGACTCTTTCTAGGAGGGTCTGGGGGCATGCCCCCCCCCCCCCCCCAAGAAAATTTTGATACAAATAAAGCTAAATCCTGTGTTCTGGAGCATTTCAAGAGGGTTTTGAACATGTTTTGTTTCATGAAATTTCACTGGTTTGCTAATAAAAAATACCCCCCAAAAAAAAATATTTTCATATTTTAATCATCTATATCTATATTAAGAATGTGTTCGACTTATTTTGAAGACCCCTTTAGATCATGACTTCATCATCATCTTCATGTTATTTATCATTATTACTAGTGTCTTTAATGAAGATGGATAAGTAAGGGATTTAAAAATACACCCACAAAAGAGGAAAGGTTTGCCCTTGCCGTTTTTTGTCATAATTCTTCATGGACTCCTGCTTTTCCCTTGTTGTTTGTCAGTTTATTTTTTTTTGCAGGACAAGATTTTATTCCTGAAAATCTGCATATTTTTACCAGAGACCTTTAATTTTCACAGTATATAGGACAATAATTCAGTTTTGATACAGGTCTGAATTTGGATTGTAATTAAATATTTGACATATTATAGGTTTCTGAATAAATGTAGTCAGAGAAATTGAAATTGGTTATATGAATTGAATTTATATTCAATTAAAGATTTCTTGCTGTTGTGCAATACACTGTGCTGTTGTGCAATACTTAGTAAATCTGTTGTCAGACTATAAACAAATATAACTCGGAAACATAAAATCGAAAATTTATAAAAATCAACAGGGAGCTTACAAAAATAGATATATACAATTTACTAAAGTTTCACAAAAAATGCTGAAAGTATTTTTGAATTATTGTCAGAAAACTGGAAAATCCCTCTTTTTGTAATGAATAAAACCCATAATCAGAAACGTATAGTCTAAAATTTGTAAAAATCAAAAGGGAGCTCACGTCAATAGATATAAACAATTCACAAAAGTTTCATGCAAATTGGTGAAATTGTTTTTGAATTATTGTCCGAAAACTGGAAAATCCACTCTTTTTTAATGAATAAAACCCCAAAACTCAAAAACGGTAAATCCAAAATTTATAAAAAACGAAAGGGAGCTCACGTCAATAGATATAAACAATTCACCAAAGTTTCATGCATATTGGTTAAAGCATTTTTGAATTAATGTCCGACATGTTGACGAAGGACGGATGGACAGATGGTCAACAGTATACCATAATATGTCCGGTAAACGGGCGTATAAAAAGTATTCTGGTAATACATTCTTCATTAGTTTCAAAGATTTTAGTTTGACAGAAATACAAAGATGTTAATGTAAAATGGCCATATGTGGTAAACTTTATATATTAACTGATGTTCTTTAGACAAAGCTCAATATGATACCCGCTCCCCACATGAAGCAATGGTTTTTAATTTCCCCATGGTATTTCTTTTTTTTAAAACTATAAACAATACTTCTGCTGAGTTGCTTGATTTGGTTTTTTTTTTTACTTATACATGAGAGCTCCTTATTCAAATATTTGCATCATACCTTTATCTTCCATAAGCCATCTTCAATATCTGAGTTGTTCTTTAGGAAAAGTTTACTCTTGTCTCTTGTGTATAAACCTTTTCTTCGACTGTTAAAAATAAAAATGTTTCTTATATAAGTTTAATATTATGCAGTAGTACAATATAATGTTTGAAGATTTTAAGCTTTTATGTTTGACATTTTCATCAATTATCACTTATAAAATAGTAATAACCTTGCAAAAAAAAATTCTTAAGAAGAAATATTTAACCATAACAAAAATAAAACAAATTAAGTTACCTGACTTGTTTGCTTGGTACTGTTATGGTAATATTGGACTTTCCTGTCTCCTGAACAACATATCTATATTCTTCAGATTTTGGTACTGTAACATTTTTATTCTTTGCGCTAAAATTATATTGTAAAGTACAAATTTAACCTCATCTTTTTCTAAACAGCTGTCAAAGATGCCTAGTTTTGTGCAATAACAATTTTAATCTTACTCAAATATCTTCTGAATAAGTGGCATTTGTCCCAATTTATAGCTTATCTGCATTTTTTTTTTTTTACATTTTAATTTATTGTTAATATTAATGATTCTAATTCAGTATTTTCTTCAATACCAAATTGGACAGTAACTGTAATGCATCTTTAGAGAATGAAAAGATGCCTTTTGAAATGTAGATAAGTAAACTTCTACTATATATAAAGGAAACGACAGGTTACCTGAGAAACTAATAAGTCAATTGTAAGACTAGCAACTAGATATCATTGAGATGGGAGCCATCTCTGTGGGCCCCACTGTGAATAATGTGTGGTAAAAAATTGTATCTTTATCATTGGACATGGGGTTGTCAACTGAAACCGAAGTTTTTGACCTTGACCTTTGACCTAAGAAGATGTACATAAATTATGACACACCCTCTGGTGTTGGTTTATATACATATCAAGTATAAACTTTGAAATCATAACGGTTCTCAAGATATAGAGCGGACACGATCTTTACCATAGGACATGGGGTTGTCAACTGAAACCGAAGTTTTTGACCTTGACCTTTGACCTAGGAAGTTGTACATACATTATGACACACCCTCTGGTGTTGGTTTATATACATATCAAGTATAAACTTTGAAATCATAACGGTTCTCAAGATATAGAGCGGACACGATCTTTACCATAGGACATGGGGTTGTCAACTAAAACCAGGACATGGGGTTGTCAACTAAAACCAAAGTTTTTGACCTCGACCTTTGACCTAGGAAGTTGTACATACATTATGACACACCCTCTCATGTTGGTTAATATACATGTCGAGTATAAACTTTGAAATCATAACGGTTCTCTAGATATAGAGCGGACACAATTTAAGGACGGACGGACAGACAGACAGACGGACATACTGATCACTATAGGGCGTCCGCCATTCAGCGGGGCCCTTATACCTCAAACACTAACGATATCAACGTCCTGGAAGAGAGGGGTTTTGGTTGTTCCCCTGTTCATAACCATAACAAAATCACATAATTAAGCTGACAAAATCTTACCTGGTGGATTCCTCATCATCTGAATCTATAACAATACATCCCTCTTCTTGTTCCTTCACAGGAGGTACCACTCTTAAAACTTTACAAGATTTCCTGAAATGAAAACACAAAACTTGATGTGCTGTCCATAATTCAAAAGTACAACACAAATATAATTCAAACCAGTAATCGCCTTGATTTATTTTTCAACTGAAATATGGCTGTTTCCCTAAAAGGAATTAACTTTTTAAAATAAATAAAAAATCTTCCTTCATAATTATTACTATTGTGAAGGAAGTAAAAGTTGTAAAATGTATATTTGTATTTCGTTAGTCATATTGAGGTATAGAGTAACAACTGCATAATAAAATGACATTACAAAATAAGTTCCCTATCAACGTCTGCACAACATCACATTAAAATTCATGTGTTTCTCAACAATTACTTTTATTCCTTGTTGATATAAGCCAAAGTGTGTGTACAAACCACTTCACAAGCCTTAGGTGGTTTCAAAATTTGTGAATTTTTTACAAACATAAACAAGAATGTGTCCATAGTACACATATGCCCCACTCGCACTATCATTTTCTATGTTCAGTGGACCGTGAAATTGGGGTCAAAACTCTAATTTGGCATTCAAATTAGAAAGATCATATCTTAGGGACTAAGTTTCAAGTTGATTGGACTTCAACATCATCAAAAACTACCTTGACCAAAAACTTGAACCTGAAGCAGGACAGATGGACGCACAGACCGAAAACATAATGCCACTAGGTGGGGCATAAAAACAACAAAATATAAAATCACAATATTTGGAGAATTCATGATTTAGATGATCATCAATTGGAAAAGTTTCAGACAAGTTGTCAGACTTTCTTCTCTGAAAGCTAAATGTTTGATGTTACCTTATTATGTAATAAACAAAGGCTTGGAAATCTTCTACTTACTTTTCTCCACCAACAACAACATCAACGATTTCTCCAATGAAATATCGATCTTTTGCAAACATGAAAACATCATCATTCATATCAGCCAATCTACTGCGCTTGGTTCTCTGCGCTAAAAACAGAAGTGGTTTCTGCAGAGCTGCTGGGAATGAAGCAATGTGCTTCAGCGCTTTCTCCTCTGATTCCAATGCTTCCTGGAATGTCAAACTAGCTTTCCCTGTGATGGAACATGACCACACCAAACTATTGCACAAGATTATTCTTTCGAAAAATTCCCTGCAACAAAAAAATTTGAAGTAAGTGAGTAAATCATTTATCAAATTTACAAGAAATAACCATTGATAAACCTATACGCCAATGAGACAGCAAAAAAACAACTGAGGTTTGACAAATATAAATATTTGGAGAAAAAAAAATGTTAAGGGTGTCCCAAAATGTCCTAATTTTAGTCCCAATCCGAATCCATTTCACTGACTATTTTGGCCAAGCACTTATAAATCACACGACTGTTTCCTTTTATTGATGAAAATATTTCTGAGCTAGATGTTTCAGTACAAAACGAGACTGCTAAAAGTCAAGTCTATGACTGAAATAAAATTCCATGTTTTTTGCATATTTCAAGGTAGATGGCATGGGGAACCTGAATATTATGAAATCAATGACATATTGATATTTTCCTTTGGTCACCAAGAACAGTAACTCTTCAAAAACTTCTGTCTGAACAAATCTTTGAAATACATAAATGCAAATGTTATCATGTTAAAGAAGCCATTCTGTCAAGTTCAAATCCAATCTTACATAATTTAGTACATGTATTGACAAAAATGGTGCAGTACAAATTACGCAATCACAATCAATTTGTAAGATCAAAAGTTGTACCACAACATTAACACATGCCATTGTAAGAATTCAGTTTTCCAAATGTCATTTTATTCTTTTGTAAATTGTAGGAAAATTGAATGTTTGTAGAAGTAGTGAAGTCCTTGATTGTTTAAGGTAAACCAATATCATTCTGATAAAAATAATCATTTTTTAAAAGAAAGTAAACAGCTGATTGCGACATTTTGTCAAGGTTAAATTTTCAATACATTAATAATATCAAATTCTATAAGTGACTAACAAAACTGTATTACATTTCTATGAGCATGCAAATGAGTCCTATACATTGTAACTTAAATATATCGGAGAAACGGAAAGTTGATGTAGAAGGAATCATGATAACTAAGCTGTTGAATCAATCTTCTGTTAACAAGGTTTAGACTTGGGATCTTTGACCTAACTTTATGAAGAAATGATTTTTTACATTTATTCATTCAAACCCAAGGGTTACACTGGTAACTTCACAGAATTCATTGACAGTCAAATTGACCTCTGACCCAAATAGTTATCATGGTGATTAGATGCATGTACAGTTTGAACAAAGTTAAAGTCTGAACAATCCTATTAATGTTTGACATAATCCTCAATCTAAGCTTGACAATATAATCTGTGACCTTGAAAAGCATAAGATGCAATTAATGGGATCATCCTTCCCAACACGAATTAGGATAAAGACTTTAATACCCAAGTGGTAATGTTGGCCAATAAGACAAAAAATTATAATCAATTTTCAGAAATATTATCATTAATGGATGTGCATATGGTATTATTAGTAATTAAATTACATTTAATTTTAATATTTTTTTATCAAAACAACTAATAATTTGTACAAGGTTCCGCTGACCCATGTGTCTTTCCTTTGATTACTGCTGTCTATGGAAAGCCTCAGCTGTCATATATTAGAGATTCACAAAACGTTATGCTGAGCTTAAAATGTAAAGTTAAGACAGCGTGCTGTTGAATTGAGTCATCAAAATGCTAACTCTAAATTACAATATGCTAAGTTGAATCTGCGCAATGTTGACTTGCAATGACAAGTGCTTTAGTCGTGATAGTATAATGATAAGTCACGGTGTTGTGATGATATGCCAAACACACGTAACGTTGGGTTTAAAGTACATGATGTGAAGTTGACGTTGCATGGTGTTAGCTTGCAGATGGATACTGCTCAGTCATCCACATCGACAGCTATGATAACAAATAAAATGAATAGCTAAAATGTATGGTGCTGACTTGTTATTAATAAATGTTGAGCTGAGATAGTACGATGTTATATCATTGTGATATTACGATTGGTCTATCATGCAATCTGTTGATTTAAAACACCATGATGCACAGTTGAAAGTACATGATGTTAAGTTAAGATAACACGATGCTACACCATTATATTGAAACGAAAGGCTAACCATACAATTTGTTGACTTAAAACAACACGATGCAACGTGTTAATCTAAGATGCTCACTCGAAACTACAGGACGTACAGTTGAAATTTTGTAATGTTAAGCTGCGATAGCACGATGTTTTATCATTATAATATCACGATAGGCTTATTATACAATTTGCTCATTTAAAACTACACAACGTACAGTTGAAAGTACGTGATGTTAAGCTAAAATGGCACGTTGTTATATCATTAGAATGTCACGATAGGCTTATAACACAATTTGCTCATTTAAAACTACACAACGTACAGTTGAAAGTACGTGATGTTAAGCTTAGATGGCACGTTGTTATATCATTAGAATGTCACGATGGCTTACCACACGATATGCTCATTTAAAACTACACGACGTACAGTTGAAAGTATGTGATGTTAAGCTAAGATAGCACGATGTTATATCATTATAATGTCACGATAGGCTTATTATACAATTTGCTCATTTAAAATTACACCACGTACAGCTGAAAGTACGTGATGTTAAGCTAAGATAGCACGTTGTTATATCATTATAATGTCACGATAGGCTTACCACACGATATGCTCATTTAAAACTACATGATTTTCAGTTGAAACTAGATGATGTTAAGCTAAGATAGCATGTTGTTATATCATTTGAATGTCACGATAGGCTTACCATACAATATGCTCATTTAAAACTACACAACGTACAGTTGAAAGTATGTGATGTTGAGCTATGATAGCACGATGTTATATCAAAATAATATCACGATAGGCTTGCCATACAATATGCTCAGTCAAAACTACACGACGTACAGTTGAAAGTACGTGTTGTTGAGCACAGATAGCACGATGTTATATCATTATGACGTCACGAGAGGCTTATCATACAATGTGTTGACTTGAAACTACACGATGTAAATTTGAAGTAGTTTGGTCTTGACTTGAAACAGTAAAATGTTAAGTTGAAAAAACAGAACGTAAAGTCAAAATAAAACAATGATAGGATGACATATACTTGTGCAGAATTGAAGATTTTTGGTGTTGACTTCGAATATAGTACAAATATTAGATCGTTTTATGTTAAATTGAAAGACAATAATGATGCGTAAAACATTACAGAATTATGTGAATTGAAACTGCAATTCTATGGAAAAGAATGGGGGACAAATCCCCAGGATTTTTTCTTCTGCATTTGCAAGTTCGGAGGCAAAATGATATACAAAGAAAGTTTTCCATAAATTCATAAAGCAAAAGAATTACCCATCGCTATATATTACACTTGAATACAGTTTTGCCGTATATTTTACATGTTTTTTTTGGATTTTTTTTTATGATTAAAAACCAGACTTTTTTTATGAACAATATTTAAGAAAATATTTATCTATGTTGTGTGTTAATATATACAATTAACATAATATTGTGCTTATAAGACTTCGGTTATGACTGTGAGGGGGTCAAATTTTACTCATATAAAATCGCATCTATGTAAGAGTTAGCGGAGAATTTGTATTTACCAATCCCGTTTTCCACGAAATAAAACATAAGAATCTGGAGTCTTAATCTTAAAAAACAAAGATCAACTGATATGACAAATAATACGGTAAAGCGTTGGACTGAGAGGGTCAGAGCTATATGAGAATGTGACCCCCCCCTCCCCACCCCCCCACCCCCGGCCTTGTTAGAGGTATCTGAAAATTTGAATTTTCTTTTCCACGAAATAAAACAAAAAGAATTGATAGGTGAAGAATTCTACTGCTAGGGGGCCAACCCAAATATAAAGTATGGTAGATTCTGTTGTATACTTTTCGCTCATACATGAAGTCTATATGAAACCTAATGAAATTTGACATAGAGCCTCCAGTCTTAATCGTCAACTTTCAAAAAAAGAAATACATCATTTACAGCAGTGCCAACCTTTCTTCCAGCACCAAGTAAGATAGTGCCCAGGTTTATGTATATATCCACTCGAAAAATATTTTTTTTTTTTTTTAAATTGGTAAAGTCATTAATGGACAATGACCCCTATAACTTATAATAAGAAGGCAATTAATGATTTCCGTCACTTATTTTCTTGTCCATAGTGATTTGCTTGGTTCTTTGCAGCTTCTCTCTATCTATATGTGTTTTCAAAGAAAAAGAAAAAAATCAAAAATCTTTAAAAATTGTTAAAGTCCATGAATTATTTTGGTATTGCTTTGATTAATTTTCAGATATATTTTTTATGTCTCTCTCTCTCTCTCTCTCTCTCTCTCTCATATAGTTTTCATGAGTGTGGTCTAAATTAAAATCGATATATTTTTTTTTATTATTTGTCAAAATGTAGTTTATTCTTTTTTGAAAAACATAATAAAATGTTTGCGCCACAGAGCATTTTGCAGGCTACAGGTTATGCAGTATTGTCAGATTTAGTATAAACTATACATGGAAAACTCAATGTTAGAAAAATAAAAATAAAAAATGGGATCACGAGACTAGTTTTCTGTCTACAAAACGAAATAGATAAAGTCCCTACATATTCCATCTTTAGAGACGAAATATGCCAAAAGGATTTCAAACTCAAAGGTCGAAAACAGAATGACAATGCCATGGCAAAAAAATAAAAAACGAAAAAAAAAGAATGTTATCCGAGTTATATGGAAAAGTTGAAAAACATATGTAAAAAACGTTCTGTATTCAAAAACAAATAGTCGTTTTAGTCAGATAAATCTCATAATTTTCTTCATCAAGATGAAAAGTACTACATATGAATAACATTCCTCTCTCATAATGTGTATATTTTTTTAGATCTAGACCGATTGTGTTGAGCTATATGAGAATCTAAGGGAGCTACCATGTGATTTTTATGGGGGAGAGGGGGAGGGGGAGGGGGGGGGGGGGGGTGTGGGCTTGGACGAAAAATTTTGTCCTGCCTTTTAAGCTCACCGGGGCCCGAAGGACCCCATGTGAGCTTATGCCATCACTTGGCGTCCGTCGTCTGTCGTTGTCGTCCGTCGT